ATAATCCAGGAACAATGTATTTAATCAAAAACATGGCAAATCTAATAGAATCAACAGAAACAAAGGGAAACAGTTAACACTATCAAAATTACTTAAACATTCAATTAGATGAGAAGAGCAGAAGAAAAAGTTACCCGATTTAAGTTATAAAATGAGTTACTTTTCACATGCAAAAGATATACTTGTAAACATATGATGTTTGTTGTTGAGTAATGGATATCGTCTGCTAAGAAATAAGGTTTACCAATAAACGCGTTTTAATCAAATGATCAATTGATCATTGGGAGTTTACTGTTAAATGATAAATCTTTATTTTGAGGAGGAGTAATTTTAAATCACGGGTTGAATAAAATTGGTTAAATTGGCCAAAATTAGTTGAAAGTAAAAGTGTCAAATGTTGAAAAAAAGAGGAACGCAAGAGAAGGAAACATACAATAACTTACCTCGTCGTTTGATTATAATTAAAAAATTGTTTTCCGATTTTGGCTCTATTCTGTTTTAATCATTCATCTCATGGTTGATGATCACAAATAAATAAATATACACTTGACTCTTAATGATTAAATCAAGCAGCAACAAATTCAAATGTAATGGAAGTTAAAAAAGATCATTTCATTTAATGTCGCCTTTTTTTATTTACTTCCTTCAATCGATTCCAAGATAATCTTTAAGGAAGATGTGTATTGTTTGCTATTTAATCGCAATTTGGGTGATCATTTTAAATTGATTTGGTTAGATCAGTTAAAATATTTGTCAAAAAGATTTAAGTTAATAGTTTAAGACTATTTAACATCATATTTATGTCTAAAAAATTGCGAGAAGTAACTTTAAAGGATGTAATTGTCCACATAAAGGTATAATAATGTTAAAATCTGAATTTTCAGATTGTTGATTGAAGTTAGTGGCGAAGTAAAGTTATTTAAATTGCGGAAGATAATAAGAGTATTAATGATTCACCATTAAAATAGATATTTCAAGATTGTCATCAAGAAATTTATTTAGGCATTGAACAAAGGATGAAAGTCACAAATGTCTAAAAAGGAATTGTTTTTTTTAAGTTACAGAACTATTCTTGGATTAGTAGCTCAGGCTGAGTTTTAAAACTGTTTACTTTAGTGGCCATTTGAGTCCAAACCCAAACCCAAACCATAGTAAAAACTGGTTTACCTAGTAAAGGAGTTAGAGATATTTTGAATTTTGGAAACTTAACCTCCAACCCTTTGCAAGACACGCTTGAAATCCATTTTTACTCAACAAAGTCACTGTGATTTTATAATAATTCTCTAATTGTAGTTTTTCATGTTGACTAATCATTTCTCAAAATGAGTGCTGAGAATAGCAATTCTGATAAAAGTAAGTTTATTTATGTTGATCAATTTTTTGCTAAATAACCTATTAAATTCATTCCTAGCTGTGATCAAAGTAAAGCTATCAGGTGAAGATTATCATGACATTGTGATTGACTGGACGGATACAAGTCAAGCATATGAACAACAAGTATTTGGCCGAGTAAGTATAATCGTCAATTGAATCACAGTATTGTTCCTTAGCTCAAAGAAATATCAAGAATACCTTATGAGCATAGTGAGAGGTTTGCATGAAAACTGTAACAAATTGTTTCTAAATTATTCTTTTTATATTAATAATTATATTATTTCTTAGCTTGCAGAAATATCAGGAATACCAGTTGAATGTACTGCAGTCTTTTCGCTTATTTTTCGTGATCAGAGATTTGAGGAGATTTGGGTGACCAACAAACGTGCAAAACCTGAACTCGAGTAATGTTTAAATATAATTTAAATTCATATTTTATCTAATTAAGTTTTCTCTCCCTAGGACTCCTGATTGGACTCATCAGCGGCTAGAATTTAACAGAGAAAATCTTTTAAATCTCATGAACGGCAATGAACACTTTGGTCTTTCTCTCAGGCTGTGCTGTGATGACAATAAGCATTTTTATATATGGTACTATTTTGTGCCAGAAAGATTCATGGATGAAAATGAATGTACTCGACATTTTTGTCATTACTTGGACAATAGAGCTATTTTGAACAAATTTAAGGCAATTATAACTGATGATGTTTTACAATCACAAATGAAGGATTTTCTTGTTCAACCGAGGTGGCCACAGTTTGATGGATTCATTTTTCTCGAGCCATGGCATAATGCTTATAGAAGATTCAATATCATGCAATACTATTACAGAACTTGTTATTGCCACCAACAAGTTGAGAGATTCATATATCAGCTAGTCGATTATGTGCCACCTCAACTCTACCTGCGGACTCATGGTTGAGAATAAGCTGCATCATCTTTACTGGAGTCGCCATGATTGAAATAAAAACTTCTGCATTGATAATAAAAATTGGAAGCATCAGAACATCTCTTTCAACATCAAAACATTTTACATTCACTTATTTGATTTACTGACCAATGAAAGTGTTGAAATTCGCGTTCTAATTGTTTAATATGCGGAGTTTCATGTAACGTGTTTATGTTTGCTGTACAAGCTTTACAATTAAATTATAATCAATAAACTCTCTTCAGTCCATAAATCTTTTAGTTTTTAATTAAAGGATTTACTGAAAATTTAAATCAAGGAAACAAGGTTTAGCGCCATCTATTCTTGTTTTGTGCATTTATAATTTGTTCAGCATTTAGGCAAACGTGCACAAGGTGGCACGAGTTTCGAAGAAATGCAATTTTGGCGGCAAGAGTTTTTTGTATTGGTAGTTTTTTTAAACCACTTGTTTACTTGTATTTTTTACATTTGTTCATTTCATTGTTTTATCATAAATTTCTTATTTTTGTTTGATTTATCTCCATCATATTCTTCTAGCTCTAATAGTCATGGCTTTGTGGTGTGATAGATATCGACCAACCAGTTTAAACAAGTTGGACTACAACAAAGAACAAGCTGATTATTTGAAACGTATGGTGAGTAACATTCATTGTTTTTGATTAATATGCTTATTGTAGTTAATGAATTATCAATAATTTTTCCATTACAGATTAAAAGTAATGACTTTCCTCATCTTCTTGTCTATGGTGCACCAGGATCCGGCAAAAGAACTCGAGTCCAATGTATTCTTAGAGAAATTTATGGCCCTGGGGTGGATAAAACACGCATCGAGCATTTAACAATTGAAACACCTTCTAATAAAAAACTTGAACTCAATTCAATTGCCAGTAATTATCATATTGAAGTTAATCCAAGTGATATTGGTATCCAAGATCGTCTAGTTGTGCAAGATGTTATGAAAAATATTGCTCAAAGTGGAGGTCTCGTGGATAAAGTACCTTTCAAAGTAATTGTTATTTCGGAGGCGCATAAATTGTCTAAGGATGCTCAACACTCTCTCCGAAGGACCATGGAAAAGTATATTTCTACCTTGAGGCTAATAATGGTCGCTGATACGAGTTCAACTATTCTACCTCCTATAAAAAGTCGGTGTTTGTTACTACGTGTAGCTGCTCCTTCAACCGACAAAATAAGTCAAATACTCGAATTCGTCGCAAAGAAAGAAAATTTTGACATATCTCCTAGCCTCATCCAGAAAATTGCCAAAGAATCTGAAAGAAATTTGCGACGTGCATTGTTAATGATGGAAACAATGTACATCAATCAAAGTAAAGACATCATTAAACCATCATATGTCCTTTATATTCAGCGAATGGCTAAAAAAATGGTTGAAAATCCCTCCCTGGAAAAAGTTAAAGATATTAGAGAAGATTTTTATGAACTTGAACAACATCTAATTCCAGTGGACTTAATTTTCAAGGTGCTCATTCATTCATTGCTACAGATTTGTGATAAACATTTGAGGGGTAAACTTATCCAACTGGCATCACATTATGAACATCAAATGAGAGTGGGAAGTAAACGAGTTTTACATTTTGAAGCCTTTGTCGCTCATTTCATGGCTGCCTACCAAAAGTTCACGGAAGATAATATGATTGATGATGATGATGATCTGCTAGCAATGTAAAAAACTAAGTCAAAAGGGCAAATTATGATTGTCTGGGAAAGGTGGCCGTTGATGAAATCTTCAATTCAAAACTTCAGTTTCACCAGAATCAACCATTCTCAAGGATTTGGTAACTTCAACATTAGAAACAATCATTAATGATTCGTTTTTAATCATATCATTTACTGTTAAATTTTTGAAGAAAAACATCTTTGTTTCCATTTAATTCAAATTGATCACAATAAAAGATACTTCAATAAATATAATTAGAAAATAAAATCCATCAGAATAAAACCCAATTGTCCTTCCTCGGGTAGAATGAATTTCAGACTAAATAACACAAATCACAGTCAATCGACAACTAAATTGCAAGTGGAGTTACAAGTTTCTTACTTGAAAGGACCATAATCCGAGAGAATCGCTGCAAATCGTTTAAGAGACTTCACTTTAGGAACAGCTTGATCGCCTTCTTCAACGAATTTTTCAGCAAATGGCACCTTCAATATCAAACAGCATATAAATACACACAATACAGATAATATTATCAAACGGAAAATTTAATCAGAGAGTTCAATTGCTCACCGAAAAAGCATCAGTTGAACTGAACTTTTTGCAATCCAAATAAAATTTATCGGATTCGACCTGAAAACAATGGAAACTACGAATAATTTGCAAAGTAAAATAACTGTCTTTTAATCATTAATGAATATAAATTATAAAAATGCTTTCATGTTAAACTGATGTTCAGATGTTCCAATTTTTTATTTTTGAAGCAAGAACTTTGATTGAAATCATGGCTACTCCAGTAAAAATGATGCAGCTTATCGTCAACCATGAGTTCTCAGATAGAGATGAGGTGGCACATAATCGAAACGCTGATAAAAAGATCTGTGAAATTCTATTCTGCGAATACAAGATCTGTAATAGTATTGCATGATATTGAATCTTCTATAAGCATTATGCCATCGCTCGCGAAAAATGAATCTATCAAACTGTGGCCACCTCGGTTGAACAAGAAAATCCTTCATTTGTGATTGTAATACATCATCAGTTATAATTGCCTTAAATTTGTTCAAAATAGCTCTATTGTCCAAGTAATGACAAAAATGTCGAGTACATTCATTTTCATCCATGAATCTTTCTGGCACAAAAAAGTACCATATATAAAAATGCTTATTGTTATCACAGCACAGCCATGGAGAAAGGCCAAAGTGTTCATTGCCGTTCATGAGGTTCAAAAGATTTTCTCTGTTAAATTCTAGCCGCTGATGAATCCAATCAGGGGTCCTAAGGAAAGAAAACTTAATTAGATGAAATATGAAGTTCAATTTAAATTATATTTAAACATTACTCGAGTTCAGGTTTTGCACGTTTGTTGGTCACCCAAATCTCGCCTCCGTGATCACCCAAAATAACCGAAAAGACTGCAGTACGCTCAACCGGTATTCCTGATATTTCTGCAAACTAAGAAATAACATAGTTATTAATATAAAAAGAATAATTTAGAAACAATTCACAAAGTTTTAAACACAAACCTCTCACTATGCTCATAAGGTATTCTTGATATTTTTTGAGCTAAGGAACAATACTGTGGTTCAATCAACATTGTACTTACTCGGCTAAACACTTGTTGTTCATATACTTGACTTGTATCCGTCCAGTCGATCACAATGTCACGATAATCTTCACCCGATAGCTTTACTTTGATCACAGCTAGGAATAAATTTAAAAGGTCATTTAGCAACTGCTTGATCAGCATAAATAAACTTACTTTGTTCAGAATTGATATTCTCAGCACTCATTTTCAGATATGATTAGCAAACATGGAATAACCAGAATGGGAGTTAGTATTGTTGTAGAATCACAGTAACTTTGTTCAGTAAAAATGGATTTCAAGCGTGTCCTTAAAAGGGTTGAAGGTTAAGTTTTCGAAATTTCATATCTTTTCTGACCAGTTAAACCAGTTTTGGCCTATTCTATTTGTAGCGCCATTTTCGTATTAAAAAAGATACTTTTAATAGGGTTGGACCAAAAAACCAAAACGACCAAAAGCAAGATAAACGTTGATAAATTGCAAAAAAGTGATCGATCTTTGATGCTTATCAACAATTTTTACCGACAAAAACTGAGCTCGGTAAATCTTACGGTCACAGAATGGTTGAGGTTTAACCGAATGATTTTGTTTCACAGAAAACAAAAATTTTTGAACGAAACAAATGCATTTTCTGGTTGACCATCAAAAGTTGATCAGTGAAAAGAGTTTCAAAAAACTTGTTCCGAAATCGTACATAACGCAATCGAAGTTTAAACTTTGAACTCGATTTAATCAATGCAAAACTAAGTTTAATGACTCAAATATGCAATAATAGTTCACAAATATATCATGCGCGCCGCTGCTTCATTGACTATTCATGAATTAACAGAGCAACATAAATGTCGTTGACATTCATTGATAATAAAGTGTCAGACGTGAAAACAATTGGAGGAAAAGTCGTTTCATAAAACGATCAGTCAGATTTGAAAGAAACGTTAAAGATTTTGAGAGAAAAGGAAGAGATACAATGGAATGTGTCAAGTTTGTTTCAAGCTTCAGAAATGCATTGTCAATTGTTAATTAATCAACACCCAGTTCCATCCACAGAAAAGTTAACATTTCTTTTGGTTAAAAAATTGGGTAAGGAAAATATTTTAAATGCAGATCACTTCATTAGATGATTAATTAGCAGTTTATACACGTAAAACACTTATGGTCTGTTTATCTAGGTCTTTTATTAAAGAAGGATTAACCAGTCTTTTTCGAGAGGATTTGTTAAACCACTTGAATTCCAATCAAAACTTGCTTCCGGAATAGTTGAGGCACTTTGTTCTTGCTTCTCTAGACTATTCATTGGATCCTGAGACATTTGTTGAGATATTTGAGGCTCTAATGGTATTATCGAAGGTAATAAAGGCGTTGGCTGGAGAATCGTAAGCTTGGATGGTATAAGAGGAGTTGAAATGTCCCTTAAACCAGGCATTTGCTGCTGAAAAGGAAAAAAGAATGAAAAAAATAATCAGAATTTCAGCGATATTCAAGTTAGAAAAATTATACAAGGAAAAAAACAATCAAGGAAACTGTAGACGTAAATTGAAATTTCTTACAATATTTCGAGAGTCAATTTTAAGAGATCGAAGAAAAACTTGGAATGTGTGAGATGATTCCCAATTCAATTTGAGTGAAGCTGCTTCTTCCCAATTGATCAGTGATTGCCACATTTTATAGCTATAATTAGAGAATAAAATTCATTAGTTAGATATAATCGAAAGTAAGTGTCCTTGGGAGAAAGGCATGTTATTGGGTTGAATTTATTTTCTGAGAGGAAGGTGCACATCACAATGAACGGCATGGCAATGAACAGGTAGTTTTAGTTACAAAATGGGAAAAACTTGCCAATCCAATTTATTCATACCTTTGAGATGTTTTATCAGCAAAAAAATTTGTTGGAATAACTTTATTGCTTTCATCTGGCATACCCTTGGCAAAAGATTGACAAACAATGGATGATAAAGGTGAATGCGATGCTGAATAATTAACTGAGCTTGATTCATCTTCCATAGAAGGTGAAAATTCTAGCGTATCAGAGGATAAAACAGTTTGCTTTATTGATCTAGAGGTTTCTTCATTATCAATCACCGGGCTTGCTTCTTGGAAATTGGCAAAATCACCAAAATCGTCATCCTCTTCAACTTTAATAGCTTCATGCTCCAATTTATTTTCAATCTTATTATTGGCAGAAAGGTTTAAATCTTTTTCTTTTATACAGTCTGTTGTTAGATTTGGTTCATCATTGCTTTTGAAATCGGAAAAATCTCCAAAATCATCGTCGTCCATACTTTTATTATTTTCACAACTGCCACTCTGGAAATATGCAAAATCTCCAAAGTCATCGTTATTAAGTCCTATTTGTTGTTCGGTTTCTAGTCCACCATTATCACTATTATATTTGTACCCTTCATTTGTACTAGTTTGAAAGAACGTGAACTCGCCAAAATCGTCATCTATGGTCTTATTATTTTGGAAATCAGTGAAATCACCGAAATCATCGTCATTGTTGTAATGAACACTTTGAAAATCATCAGATTGTTTACTTCCATTTGTAGCATCAATAGAGTTCATAATTGGTTGAATTGTGAGCATAACTGGTTTACCTCAATATGTTATTTTGAGTGAAACTATTTGAAGACTGGCCAGACTCGGTTAAATTTAAACAGATGTGAGATAAAATTAAAAAAGTCAGCATAAATGCATAGGCAACTGGGCAATCAAACAAAGCATAGGTGATACTTCTTGGTTTTCCTTGAAATTGTCATGTTAACACGTACTTTGAACATAGAAGATACAATATTTACTTGATGATCAAAATGATTGATTTAGCTGGTTAACTTTCGACATGACACATAAGTTAACCAGGTGGACTGGAGAAATCTTGACGATTCTGTTGTTATTGCTTTATGGCTTGCCCGTTGAGCATAAATAAATCTTGATGATAAGACAAGGAAGATAATAAAAGGACAATTCAGAGCACAAGTAAGAAAAAAGAAGAGCCAATAGACTAGTAAACCTTGTACAATTAATTAAATCACAGTTTTTTTTGTTGCTTCAGCATTTTTAACAAGTTATTTGATCATTAGAACAATCTGTAAATAAAAAATATGGAGACTGTTTCTCTTTCAATTAAGGTATCTTCAAAAAGCTGATAACGATCAAGATTAAATCACAAATTATACAATGACTTAAGAAGGTACTAATCAACAGGAGCTGTTGATGATGGTATGATGGTGATGTTGATGATGATGAAGACGATGATATTCGCATCACCAGGGAACAGCTGAATAAAAAGCAAAGTACCTTTTACGCTGATTTTGCTCCATTCTGATTCTCATTCAGCTTCTACAGAAGTCAGCTTCAGTCAGAAATAAATCTGACTGGTTACATGAGTAACTAATAGATGGCTTTACGTAAGCATCAAAATTAACTTTACAATTAAAATTAAACTATTAATCATTAACCAACTATAAAGTAATTCATTGATTAAAAGGTACTCAACCTTAACCTTTAACTCCTTCAGGTAAACAAATAATTGCATTTAATAATATTAATTGTCCAGAAAATGATCTTTTCTTGTTGATGAAAAATTTTGTTTTGTTCTAAATACGATAGATGGCGATAAATCTTCTGTTTTTCTATTGTGTCTTTTTTTATGTTGTGTAAAATCTTTTTTTCATGAAAATTATTTCTTCGTCGGAGTGTTTTTTTAATTGGGTGTAAAATTTTGTTCAAAATTGTAATTACATTTATCTGTTACTTGTCCATTAGATTACCGTGTTGAACTAAACAGCGATGATATTATTTCTGGTGAATGTTTAACTGGTAGGAAATGGCAGATGATGGTCAAGGGGCTGTGACCAAACCAATAGAGACAGTAACAAGCCCGGGCACTTTTGTGGGAACAAGTGGAACTTCATAATTTAAACTGTGGATTATTACCAAAACATTTGAAATACATTATCGATTTTAAATTTTAATCCAATGACAATGACATCGAAGCCTGTAAATAAAGTCTCTGTGGCCAGTAAAGCAGATTTGCTTCGTGTTTTATGTACCCTGGAAGGTGAGCTTCAAGCAAAAGAAATTGTGATCAGTATACTCAAGACGGAACAAGTCCGTAGACTTTTACATCCTTGCTACAATAAACGAAGATGGGTTCAACCTAATTCAAAATTGTCAACCAACACCATAATCCCAAATAATCGAGCTCTCAAATGCAAACAAGATTCATCGCAACAGCAACAGCTACAACAGCAGCATCAACAACAACAACAAGTTCACAATTCCGTTCAGTTAAATATTGATCCATCTGATCCTTTTGTAGCTCTATTAAGAGATACTTACTGTGCATATGATCCTTCATTTGATGAAAACTCAACCAAATTAATTTATAATCTTCAATATCAAAATTTAAGGACCCTTATAGACCATCAAAGGAGAGTGAGAAAATTTTTAGAATCTCAGATTGCTGATTGGGAATCCAAGTATAAAGCCTGTTGGCAGGAATTAGAAAATGAAAGATTGAAAAGTGAAAAATATGAAAGAGATAAAATGATTAACCGGATCGAGCAACTCGAAAGGGAAAATGATGCTCTCAAGCAAGATGTGAAAAATGTTCAAAGTGAATTAGATAAGGAAAAAGAACGTGAAAAGTCAATGGTAATGTGTTTAATCACTGAGCGTAAAGAATTGATTTGCTGTTTAATTGAACACGAACAACGTAATGCTGCTCTAATCGACATGTTGACCGCTGAACAATGTAGAGCCGCTGAAATGAGTGAGGATTTGGAAGAGGAATCTAAAAGATCACTCCAAATGGAATCTGAATTGGAAAGGTTATCAGCAAGCTTCGAGAAATCAAAATCCATGTTAATGGATAAAATAAATACATTAGAAAATAAGAGTACCAAATTGGAAGAGGAAAATGATAAATTAAAAAAGGAATTGGAAGCAATCAAATCAAAAAGGATAGCCCAATTAGGAGAAGGTGTACGAGCAACAATTGTTACTGTCAACTCAACGGACCACAAGTAAGTCATTTTTGTCAAAAAATAGATCGGAAGGTGTTAGTATTTTTATCAACATGACTATTTGTTTATCAATCAATGGAAACAAAAACAGTTTATTCAAAATTTTCCAAATTTGTCGATAAGCATGACAAATGTTGAATTTGTACCTCTAGTAATTATGTTTACCATTTTCCATCATTTCAAATTTTCTCTTCTCTTCTACCATAATTGTATTCCAATTTTCAAATCGATTTCCCTGAAATGCATGATAGCAAATAGTTTTCATTCACTATGTTTGTGACTATATCAATTAGTTTAGTTTTCAGTATTAGATGTTAATGTATCAATTTGTTTTTGCATTTTTCAATATTACGTAAATGGCGAAGCTAATATCCGCAGTTAATCTCATTTTATCGTTTCTAACCTCACGCCTTCTAATACTTCCATACTTAATTTAATTATCTTAAACTATTAACACTCTTGAAATGCAAAGTCCTTTTTTCTCATCATAAGTGGCTGATAATTTTCATGAGCTTCAAAACATCAAATTATTCAAATTTTGATTATGTCCATGTTAAGGCGTTTTTGTTAGTAGATCCGCTCTTTTATCCCAATTTCATACGCAATATATATCTTATATTATTCAATACTAATTTGAATAGCATACAATTATTCGATATTATGAAAATTTTTGTGCTCATTAACCAGTTAGTCTTTCCTTGCAAAACTGAAGTAGCAACTCTATCAAAATTGTCACTTCTAATTAATTTTCAAGCTTATGTTCATGTTCTCAGATTGATATTTCACAAAAATATGACCATAAAATATTGTCCCTGTCAATCACAGTTTATGTATAACTTCAGGCATTTCATTCTGAATTTGCTCATATATTATATTCTTCATTATTTCCATGTTTTCCCATACACATCTTCAATATTTCCTTAATAACTCTGAACAATGAAATGAGTTTATTCTCCAAAATTGTTGATGTAATCTGCTTCATAATAAGCAATTTTTAATTGACTAACATCATAGATTTTAAGTTTCTTTTCGTGAATTCTGGCAATATTGCTTGTTTTTTACTCCTTTGATTTAAATTTCCATGATTCATTCATTCTGTTCAGCTTCATAAACATTCCAATAGCATTAGGCTCACAAAAATTCAATCAAATTCGCTCATTTATTTAAGAATCTTTACCATAACATGACAACTAATAAATGTTGCAATATAATCACAATTAATTTCAGTTGATTTACCGGCAACAAAGAATTGAAAGTAAAATTGTTAAAACTGACCCACGATTTTCATTTTTTTATCAATATGTCCATCAATCCTTCATACTTTCCTTAAACCTCTTCCTATCTAATGATAAATCATCTGTCAGTTCATCGTTAATGAGATATCCTGCTTTGTGTATACGTTTACAAACTTTTCATCATCTTATGGCGTTTTTTTACTTACATCAACAATCGGTGCTTTATTACTTACACTTGATTTTCGTTGAGTTCAACCATCTTTGGTGAGAGTTTTGTTTTATCAACAAAATTGGCTTACTCTTCAACCATCTTCTTGATCATCTTCCTTATCTTCCTCCTTATTCCTTCTTTCCGTGCTTTCCTTTCTTCAGTTGCTTGGTAATTAAGTGTGATACAATTCTTATGATTATATACCCTTGAATTTAAATGATCGCATTACCATCTTTCCATGCTCATTACATGCATGTTCATCTTTTTTTTGTTGAGCTTCTGGTATTTCAAATGTTCCGATATTTAGTTGAGCAGAGAATCGGAACTGCAAATCCATCACGTCGTTGGCAGTGTAAAGGCCTTTAAACGTTGTAATCTGTAATCTTTGCTCAGAGTTTCTTCTGTTAGTTTCAAGTTTGAAATCATTGATCTAAATGATTTTAAAAAGATTCCGAGATCTTTAACCTTGATCATATATTGTTTAAGATATGTAATTATCATTATGTTGCACATTTTCCACTATTCATAACCTTGCTTAATCTAAATTCACACGATTTAAGATTCAAATCAAGTATAAGAATTAAATTGTCTCATAATTTCGTCTTGTAATCCATTCCATAATTCAATTAAAACCAAGTTAATCTCCTATTGATCTTGGTGAATTCAATAATTATGTTTACTCAGTAAAATATCTATATTTGTCAACCGAAATTGCATTTCTTATTTGTTTTCTTGCAAATCAATATTGAGTTAATATTATTCAATGGTAATGCAATACATAATAGTGTTTATAAATTATACATTTTACTATCAATCGACTGATCATTTAGATAACTTATAGTGAAATTAAGATTTTTGTTTGAACCTTAAACATTAAACTCCATTTAATATAATTATGCGCAATAAAACTATAAGTTATAATTCCAATAATTTATTTCTTGTTAACTAAAATTATTATGTTTTGTCTTTATCAAACAGGGTAGTGCCAAGCGTTGCATCTTCTCCAGCAGCTCTGAATCAATCAAAGGTGAACATTGCCCGACCATTGAGTCCTAGTCGGGCAATTACATCTGTTTCGACTCCAATCTCTGGTTCAACCAGTTCTGTCCTGGTAACAGGGTCAACTGTTAGCCCTAAATCAACTGTTGCTGGTCAAGTTTCAACAGTATCATCAACATCAACTTCATCTTATGCAGTTATACAACCAATTTTGAAAAGTGGAACGAATAGTTCACCAGTGGTCGCTAATCCGATCACACCCACGCCACCCTCTGGTCCTCCACCTCCATTACCTAAGACAACCTCAGTACTCTCACTAGCAACCACAACAGCAACAAACTCTACAGCTCAAACAGTTACAGCTTTCCAAAACATGACTTACAACATGGAAACAGTCACTCAACCTGTAATCTCTAAATCCTCAGCAGGTAAGCTTCGCATTTCAAATTTTTTCCTAAATTCTGTTTCTTAATTATTCTAATTGTTTTTATTTTTTCCTTTTCAGTCACTCAACAATCTCCTAATGCAACAGCGCAGCCTAACCGCACTGTTACTCCTGGTAAAGTTATGATTGCAAGTGGAAGTCCACAAGCACCGGTTCAAAAGAAGCTTTCAACTGGTCCAGTTGCGGGAACTGGATCTGGTACTAGTCCGGTATTTCGTGGAGCACCTCCTCCTATACCGCCAAATAAACCCATTCTCCCTGCAAACGCACTGAAAGAACGAAGCAAAGAAATACAACAAGCCACTGTTCGAGCTAAAATGATGACCGCCAAATCAATAACTCCCCTTCCCTCCTCCACACCTGTACCTGTTCAAGGTGAGCCCGTCGTAAATGACAAGCCTTCCTCTTCTGCTCTGACTAACTCGGTGGTGGTTAATGGTACAATCAAAAGACAAGATAAATCCTTAATGCTTTCAAACTCTTCCAATTCAACTGAACAAGTGCCTGGAGAAAATAATTTGAATAATGTTTCATTGAAAAATGCTAGCAATGGGTGCAACGATACTACTTCTGACACTTCAGATGATTCAGTTAATCATCAAAATGAAGAGTTTACTAATGTTGAAATGATTAGTCAAGAGATCGCTGATTTTCAGCAGCTTTTAGGCTCGATGGTTGAAAAGAGTATTATTGGTTGATTTGCTCAGTTTTAGGGATAACAGAAATAGATTCTATCATTAATTTTGATCATTTCTATAAATATTTCTGTGCTAAATCTTGCACGATAAAGCTGCTATGAAATAGTAAACCTAACTTTAAATACTCTCAAGCTTTTAAATAATCTATCTTAATTTTTTTAACTTAATTTCGAGGTTTGTTAAAGTTAGAACACCTTTAATCACTCAAAAAAAAACAGCAATGAATACATTAATTCACACTTACAGCATTTTGGGAACTTGTCTAAAGTCATCGAGAAATGCTGTATACCTTTTCAAACAATCTTATTTGCTTCAATTTTTGCATCTTGTTTCGTTAATTTTAAAATCATGATTTTTTGCCTTCTCTTGATTAATTTCAACATTTTCCTGTAAACATAATTTTTTGACCCAATCTTGAAATTTTTATCATTTGAAACCCTTTTTGTCTCATTTTGAATGTAATTGTACAAACATTTACAGATTTATCATTAGGATGTAAAATTATAATTATAATTTTTTCCCATATTATTGTTTAATTTGATCATTTATTTACTTATCTCAATCTCGTTTACTTTAATTGTTATAATTTAATCCTTTCCTTTTCCGCTCCTGGTGATGGTTTAATTTGCTTTTCCTCATTTATTTCTGGTTTGCTGTTTTTGTTTTAAAACATAATCTCTATTTAATGTAAGAAGATTGTTACAATTTACCACTTAAATTTAAATAATTTAAACTAATTGTTTCTCATTTTTCTCTTCTTCAGGTTCTCGGACTCCGCAAGCACCTTAGGAATAATTTATTTACCAATGAATCATCTGTATCATCCTCATCTCCATCATCATCACCATGCACACCATTCTTATCACCTTTAACTGAATTTAACTGTCTTTATTTACCATCTTTAATTGTTTTACCTGCAAGCTAAATCACTTCTCCTATTTGTTAGATTAGCTTTTGCCTATTTTTCGGCATCCAAAGCAAACCAAATACAAAACCATCCTACTAATCAATTTAATCAATTATTGATTGATAAAATTGGTTTCTAGCTTGTTGATAAATCTGTATTTGACCTGAATGGTTTCACATAAATTATTTGTATTTTACCGTTGACCATTAACCAAAAAGAAAGCGAGAAAACGAAAGAGTAAAGAATGCAATGGAACAGGATTAACCTCAATATGGCTGATTATTTAGAGTCTACCTAAACAATTCCGTCATCATCGAACCATAATCATCACCTGTTGCCATTAACAGGAATAGAACAAGAAACATTCAATTGTATTAGTTGAAAGGTTAATTAAAAGTCCTGACAAAAATTGCAACCAAGGAAATTAATTAACCAGGTTTTAGTATAAGCTCAAAGATACATTTTTGCTAAATTGCTCCAGCAAATAGTGATAAAGTTTAATGAAATAAAAGTATGAAATAAGCGATTGCAAACGCTAGTCGTTCAAATAATGGATCGAAAACAAACAAATGCAAGAAAAGGAAACTTGATTGTTCTCAATTTTCATTTTTAATTTGCTCTTAATTGTTACATAAATTTGAAACTAAAAATGACACAAAAAGTTGACAAAAAAGAACAAATCTTCAATTCTTTCAAATCTCAATTTGTAATTTTCCTTATTTCAATCTCCTTGCAAAGTCTTCCGAAACAACATTCATATCAACGCATTTAAATTACATTTAATTCAGTAACTGTAATTTAAACAATTAGCAAGCATAAAAATGTAAATTTACTTTAGGTAAGTTAAAAAATGAATCGCGAAAATTAAACAAATAAAAACACCATTGATGTAAAAGAATCTTTTTTATTGCGTTTTCCATTATTACCCATAAAAAAATTTTCGCAGTCGACAGGATTCGAACCTGTGCGGGAAAATCCCAATGGATTTCAAGTCCATCGCCTTAACCACTCGGCCACGACTGCTGGTCTATTGAAGAATCGGTTCCGTTTTGAATCGTTCAATGAGGCCAAGGATCTAAAACCACATGTTTACGAGACATTGGGAAAAGTACTTTGTTTTTACACAATTTTGTGCAATTATCTGCTTGTTTTTAGGGATAAATCATCTCTAATGGTGTAATTTATTGTAGATAACTTGGATAGGGATTTGATTGTATTTTACAGATGATTAGCGCTATTTGTTTAGCTATTTGTTTAAGTTGTATTGAATATTATTTATAGGAATCTAGTCTGCCATTTGTTGCTTATCAAGAAAACGACATAATATTTTGATAAAGCTATGATTTTGACCAAAATTAATGACGAGAGGATAATGAGAGTTGTTTCTTGTAACAGGTTTCCATCATGATTTATCAGCTGAAAGGGAGGCCAGATATTCCTCTTTAGCCTTTTCAAAGTTCCTTATATTTAACACCAAGGAAGAACGATACTTCTTTTGGTAAAATCGGGTAACGTTTCCCCAAAAATTTCTACAATCGAAGAGTTTAGTCAATACTTCATCACAATTGGGTTCCTTGGATAAACAGTTCTTAACCTCTATCTCTTCTTTGTAACAGGGATCACTCTTCATCAGCTCTTCTTTTTTCTTTTGACGCTCCTGGAAAGCTTTGAAATCCGAGTCTCCTTCTTTGCTCATTATTGGAACCGTTAACTAGAATTGCGATTAAAAACAAAAGAAAATTACACAAAAAAAGAGATCAAACGCAATAAAAATCAGAAGAAAGAGCAAACCACCTTACTCTTTGGTTTGTTTACATAGGCTAAACACATGGTTGAATCATATGGTGACAAACGTGACTGGTAACCAAACTCAATCTCCAACTTTTTCTCGTAATGATTTAACTATGTCATTTCTCGCATCAAGATCTTTACGTTATTATTGTGTTGCTACAAACATCTCCAAACAATCGTCAACAACTTTACCAGCTAATCAACAAAATAGCCCAACTTTTCAAACATATGTCGGTCTTGATGTGCATTGCAAATTAAATGTCAACTCTAAATTATTTTCTCGAAGTTCAAATAATTTTTATGCCAAAGCAAATCAGTGTGTATCTTGGTTTGATGCTGCCCTACCCGGAACACTGCCAGCTGTTAATCGTCGGTGCCTCGAGCTTGCAATTAAATCTGCATTGGCTTTAAACTGTCAAATAAACCCAATCTGTGTTTTTGATCGAGAACATATATTTGAACCTAGTTATCCATCTGGTTTTCGATTAGTTCAATCGAGAGAACCGATTGCCTCCAATGGACTCCTCAATGTACCGATCAAAGTGGACAAGACATGTTACATAAAAACTATTGAATTGAAATCAATTCACCTAGAGGAAGATAGTGGTCACGTCTTTGTTAGTCATTTAGACCAATGTAACTGCATCGATCTCAATTCTCGCGGACTCCCATTAATCAAGTTTTCATTCAAATCCACAATAATGACAGCTTTAGAATCATCTAGATCAGTAAATCAGTTGATTCAGATCCTCGAAAGGTAATATTACAAACTTCATCAAGCAAACATTCTTATATTGTACCTTCCAGATATTCATTCATTTTTCTCTCTATTTCACAGGATTGGAGCTTTTACTCCTAAAATAGAGGAAAGAGCCTTATCAATCGACGTTAAAATCAAGTTGGTCTCTGAAAATACTTCAGATTACGCCGTTACTATTAAAGGAATCAATTCTTGCAGCTCTTTGGGCACTTATATTGCTAATGAATTCGGCCGTCAAAAATACCTCATTAAAACAAATAACCCAATGAGTGCAGACCAAACATATCAGGCCTTAACCTCTGGAGGAATGAAAAAGATCAAAACGGAAGATATTGATCCCCGATCAATAATAAATTTATCTATTCCTCCATTTAGATTTGATTCAACTGTACAAAATTCAGATGAGAATGTCTCATTATCAATCGAAAAAATTGCTGCTGAATTACCTTCTCTGCCGGACAGTGAAAGATCTCATCTTGTGGATCATTGTAATTTAAATTTACTTCAAGCAACTAAGCTTATAGAAAATGATTACGCTCAGGTTGTCATCAAGATGGTATCAAATGATCCCTCAATTTGTTCAAACCATTTGTATAATTTCACAATGGAAGTGTTGAATGCCGCAATTGTTAAAACTAATAGTGAGATTAATCAACTTTATAATTTTATAGACAATTTGGTTGAATGTTTCAACTTATTGAAAAGTAAAACGATATCTCGTCAAAATGCAACCGAAATGATTGTCAGTTGTTTACAGGGTGATAAGCGGTCTCCTGATGAGCTAATTATTGCTAATGAATGGTCAATCATTGAAGATGATAAAATAATCACAGACTTTTGCAAAGATGTTATCAAAGTTCATTGTACATACGCCTTCTTTGTGAAAAGAGGGGATAAGAAATTTCTTAAAAATCTAATCAAACGAGTTAAAATTGCTTCAAACCACCGAATACCTGAAGAAAAAATTATGCAAAAATTAGATTCATTAATTAGCAACATTGATAAAGCAGCTCTTGCAATTTTCACCACGAATAGAAATAAAAAGTCAAAAAATAGACCGAATCTTTTTCTCGATGAAAATCAATAAACTAAAAGGCCACCTGTTAGTAGAGTCCGCATCTTTGAAGCTTAATTGCAATATGATTGAATTATTTAATCTAATTTTTTTAAGAAAATGAGTCCGGAAAAAAACTTTTGCGCAAATTTTTTCTATTTTATTTAATAAATTGGTCAAAATTTCTCGAATGGATCCAAATTTTTGTTCAATTCTGTCTTTTTTAATGCTGATTCTTATATTGTGCCCTAATGAGTCCAAAAATTTTAATTGTCCTTGCTATAGGTGAAATAGGTTGCGAGAGTTTCAGCTTTTTGTCGTATCTCAATTTCTCTATGTGTTTTTAACATGGGTTTGGCAAACTATTTTTTAAAAGAGCTCATTTAAAGTCCATTTTAGAAAAAATTTCGCAATTAATTACTATGAATAATATATTAAATTAAAGAGCATAGTTTTGTGATTAAAATACTGTATTATTTGTCTTTCTACAACACCCCTAACGCGCTGAAATTTCCAAATCTTCATGAGGACTTTACTAACAGGTCGCCCTTTATTTGAGATCAACTGGTGTCTCTGTAAAATTGTGATGTGTGTTTGTATTGTAATTTTTATTATGCATTTAAATACAGAAATGTAGAAATATTTGTTGAAGTCGACGAAATTTTATGTACATATTATTTTTAAAACACTAATATCCATATTTTTCATTGAGCGCTGTTTTCCCGTCTCCCGTTTGACCTTTTGGAGGTAACCACTCGACATATGTTTCTTGATTAAAGTAACTGGAATTATCTTGGACTGGTTTAGGTTTGGGCTTGGGTTTATCAGTTTTCTTGATAATTAATCCATATTGTTGATCGCTATCAGAGGATGATGATGGAGGTAAGAATGTTAGTGACTCTGCAGGTGGTGAAGGTTCTCGCAAAGATGGCCCTTTAGGCGTAGGTTCTTCTACCGTTTCAGTAAACACTGATGCAGGTTTTTGTATCAGATTCTTCTTCGTCAATGAAATAGCAATTTTTCCTGGCTCTAATTTAATTGGCGATTTTTCTTTTTGAATTACATCTTTCTTGGTTTCTGGTGAAGTATTTAATTCCATCTTGTCTCCAAGTGTCGTTGTTTTTTCACTGGTTGTTTTGAGCTTCAATGAGGAGGCTTCGTTTTTAGGAGGAGATTTTACAGTATATACAGATTCCAGCGCGGGGAGCACGAATGAGGGTTTTGCTATCTTAAGTAATCTTTCAACTCGTTGTTGTTCCTTTTCCAGATCAGTAATCCTCATCCGAAGTTTGGACTGTTCAATTTTAGCATTGAGAGATGACGTTTCATCTTTTTTGTCAATATCTTTCATAAATTCATCCAAAGCGTCAGTGGTCTCTTCTTCGATTTCCTTTTTATCAGCTTCAGGCTTGGAATTTGCAGTTGCTTTTGATGATAAACTTAAAGTTGCTAATTTAGCCTTCATCTTTTGAAGTTCTTGGCTGATTTCTTTCCATTTTTCATTCAGACTATCAAAATTAAGAATTTCCTGAACTTTATTTTTGGCGGCTAACTTTTTAGCTCGTTTGAGTTTGTACTGATCCGTTTCATCCATAACTTCATCTTCTGAGTCAGAACTATCGGTCTTCTTTCGTTTAATATCTTTTTGTCTCTGCCATGGAAATAGTAGTTCAGCTTTGTCCAGTATTTGACAGGCCCGAAGGCAAACATTGACCAATGCGTCTTTTTTCTGCAAAAATTAGAAAAAATAATTTAATATCAAGCAAAATATAAAAAAATATAAATAATAGACTATTAATTCCTACCTTCGATGAAGCTTCTCCGTCGATAGTAGTTTCTTGCCCATCAATAGGTACTTCTACTGAACATTTGAATAACCCGTTATTGTAATTAACTTGATATTCAAAATCGTAACCTTCTGAATCAAACCAATGTTGGAGAGTTTTATGAGGATTTTCACTATAAACATGTTCATTTTGAGTAGGACCTGGTCCAGTCCCAGTTTGGAGTAATGATAGCACCTTTCCAAGAGGAGTCAAAACGTCACCACTTCCACCCTCGTCCTCTTCGTCATCCATATCATCTTTAAAGCCCCAGGTACATCCAGTTTCCTCTTTTTCTACTGGTTTTTCAACTACTTTAGGTTTTTGCTCTTCATACTCGTCTTCTTCTTCAGCTTGCTTAGTGTTAATTAGGATAAATAAACGTGAGCTAGCACCTAATTTGATAATGTCATTACCAGGATTTAATTTGATTGGTTTAAAGCCAGGAATCTTGGATTTATTCAACATGGTACCATGAACTGAATTAAGATCAATCAGAAAAAAACAGCCATCAGGCCCATCTTTTGGATTCCATAGAAGACAAGCATGATAACGACTCAGTGAAGGATGGTCCATAGGAAAATCCGCATCTCTTGATCTACCGAAGGTAATCCTAGGTTTATCGATTTCCTTCCTCTGAATGACGGACCCATTTTTGATTACTTCAAGAAAAAAAACTCCCGACGGCAAAGGATCGCTAGTCAAGGGATCAGGAATGTAAGGTAAATTCCTCTCTGTTTCGAATTCTTTTCGGCTCAAACCAGGAAGCAAGAATTTATCATCTTCATCTTTAACTTGATCAACAGGTTTATTTGGTTGGTCACTTTGATCATCTTCGATATCCATTATATGTTCAGAAACTTTAATGTTATAAACACAAAAAATAGAGACTCTTTGAAGTGATCATATGATTGCAAAACTTTTTCATCTTTGATACAGATGTCAGTATAATCGCCACATGTTTTTCATCTGTTTTAAATTCATTGAGTTAAAATCATTTTCCTAAATCATAAAGTTAATCCCCAAGTTTATCAAGGACTTAATCAATTAATTTAAAAGTGTTTCTCTAATTTTTGAACTATAATGTCTTTAGATCTTTCAGGTGGTATGGGAGACCTTGATGCTAGCAGCGTTGTCGTCGACAAAGATCTCCAAAATTTCATCATCCAAGAACAACAAATTGCTCAATTCAACGCTCAGGTAAATTTCTCAATGAAAATATAAACCATTTTAGTGTATTTTTTGTGTATTAATCAACAATCATTATACATGAGTACTAATCATGTTGTGGTTTAATCTTGTTTTTTGATGGAAACTAATTGCATTTCTTTTTGCTCTCTTTATATGCTTTTTTTCATGCTTTACAGGTTCACAAGTTAACTGAACAATGCTGGGAAAAATGTGTCACTGACAAATTGACTTCTAGGTTTGATGGAAAAACTGAAACATGCCTGACCAATTGTGTTGAAAGGTTTATTGATGCCTCAGTGGTTATCGCTCAAAGATTTTCATCGATCATTCAAAAGCAAGCTGGACATTAGCTACAAAATAATAGTCAAGATTCGTTTGAAATGAGAAAAAATATATAAAACAGATTAGTTTTCAAATTATTTGTTCGCTCTTCATTCTACTGTGAAAAGAAACAACATTTAGTATAATAAAAATGAACAACAACTGAAAATCGCAACCATTTGTGCAACAAAAACCTGATTCATTTGAATAATTTCCTTACCTGTTGACTTGAAATCCAGAAAAAAAGACTCCAACAACAATAAATTGATTATTTGTTATAATCAGTGGTTCGAACGCTCCATCTCTATTCATTATATTTCCTCTTTTTTATGAATGTTCATTGGGAACAAATTAACGTTAGCTTTATATAATTTAATTTGTTTCAATCCTAAAAAATGGAACCATTGAGATCAAAATTGTCAACAAATGAGGTTTACAATAATCTACATTCATCAACAACGGAATCGCGAAACAGTTAACAAACTGATTGACTATTCAACTGCTCAACCTTTAAAGTATTTTACCATCAACGAAATACAAGTTAATTTAAATTGGACTTTTTTTCAATCTTTTTTTTTTCAAAATTTTCCTCAATTAATCATGGTTTAGTGATCACATACACATTTACAAATTGTAAAATGTAAAATATTTAACCTGTGATCCTGAAAAAAATAGATTCACTTGAAATTACAATCTTTCAATTTTTCACTCGCAACAATTACCTTCAACATCATCTTTTTTCAAACCAGTTCACCGTTAAATGACTTATGCTAATTATTCACCATAATGATTCAATCTCTGTGTTGACTGTTAAAAAGATTAACTGTTAACGTCCCTCTTGAAGGTTAACAAGTAAATTACGTTTAACCTTTATATAACAACCAGAAAATGGATCACAATTATAAGGTGTCTTAAATCAATATTTTAATGAAAAAATGAGCTTTTAAATGGATTTTAGTTGATGAATATTTGATGGATTTAGATCTTCTCCTGCCCAATCAACTCATTAATTGTACAAAATTAAAACCGTTGGCGTAGTAGCTCAAAGGGAATTGATTTGCTCTGAATTCAATTCCACCGCTCTTTGAGTAAGATGTGGTGGTCAATGATTTGGTGAATGTGTTGGATCTGGTGGACAATACGGTTGGAAAACGTGATTGGAAAAGCTGGTCTCCGTGTAAATCAAACATAAATTGTAGGTTAATAGCCATTCAACTGTTAACTGTTAACAATAATTGTATCAATTGTTGAATGCTTATTTTTAGTAATTTTGAGTTGAAAATTGTTTCTCATTGAAATGATACTAACTGATTTCATTAACTAATGAATGTATTGTTTACCTTCAACTTTCATCTCTTCAACTCTGATTGATATTTGAATTAAATACAATTGATTTTGGTACACAAAATTGGCCACTTGTAATGAGTTAAATCATTGTAATCATTTACAATCAGGTTGATTGCTATTCACCAAAAATAACCTCTCGATGGATCCAAGCCTACAAGATATATCTTTCAAAACCATTGTTGTTAACACAATTTTTTGAACCACCTTTAAAGTTACAAATATCAAATTGCTTTGTAATAATTTACCATCCTCTTTACAATTGAATTTGATTATTTACTCAGAGTAAATATAAATCAATATCTAAAACGTAATAAATCGTTACGCAAAATTTACGGCTAATAATTGCAGTAACAATAATTTTAAAATGGATGCTTTGGTAAACTCAAAATACATTGGATTCAATCTTTTGGGTTGCCCTTCAATTTGATTCTCATGTTACCAATGATGAATTATTAACACAGATTTTATTACCTGTTTGAACACGGGACAATTAAATTTGAACAAATTAAGAGTAAATAATTGATAGAAAGTGGAGTTGTATGAAATGGAGACAAAATCAGCTGATAATCATGACATCTCGTCAGACTAATTGACCATTGCTAATGTGACATTGAAAAATGAAATTGAATCCAACATCCAACTTATTGTTATTGGATTGAGTCAATGAAAAATTGATGCAACAATTTGATATAACAATTGCTGTGACAATTGATGAAACAACCTTTAAAGATGTGATTGTTTTTGATAGCAAAAATCCAACAATTAAAATATTCATATTTACTCGAGATTTCATTATTTCATTTCAATCTCAAGTAAAAAACTGATCACTATCAATTGATGCCAATCAAATGCAAATGTTACTAAACAATAATGTAAAAATAATTTTAAATATTGGTAACAATTAACATCTAAACAATCATTTGACAGCAACATATGAATTACATTTCAAGGTTTTGCCAATTGTTTTTCAATTTTGTAAGGTTACTCCAACACTTTGAAGACGTAATTTAATTTCATCCAAAAGCACTTACAATTGGCCTTAAAAAATGCATAAAGTTTAATCATAGGAACTTAATGGTAACAATTAGAATGAAAATTGATAATATTGGCTGGTAATAAGCAATAAATTGAGCAAATGATTGGCAAAACTGGTACCAAAAGATATTCATGTTATACTTTTCATTTCTAGTATTCATCGTTTGTCCTTTATTAAGTGCTAATCAATAAACTGTTAAATCGATTGTTTCAAAGGCTAAATCAAGTTCCTGTTCATTGTTCAATTTAATGGCAATCAAATTTGATAAATCATTAAATTACAACGAGTAATAAAAGCCGAATCATTGTTACACTTTGTTACCTTCATCTTTCCCATACAAAAATGGTTACCTTTTCAACATCAGTCCATCAACTCAGATCTATTATTTGTCAACCTTCCAGCTAATTGACTATTTAAATTACTAAATGATCAATTGTTAATAACTGAGTCAAATGTAAATCAATTAACAGTAAAACAACATCAATTTTAAATAAAACATTACAATTGAGTTCAGAGTCAAAGGGGACTTGTTGCATACTTTCAAGTGTAAAACGCATTACTTCAGCGTTATTTCATTTCGGGTTATCATTTTGTGCCTCTTTTACCAGTTTATTGTCAATTAATTTACCTTTTCATGTCAAAACAATTAGCTTTGATTTAATTTGGCTCAAACAGCAAGATTAACCAACTATCGTGTAATTACCAGAAATCAATGACTTGACTGGTTGACTCTACAGCTGATATACCCAAAAAAGTCTAACATTGACATTATCATTATTAATATTATATATTTAGTGGTTAAATCTTAATGGCTTACAATTAAAGTTAAGGCCTGAGAAAGAAAAATAAATTACTTGAGAACTGAAAGAATTACCGTATCGACGCGTATTATGGCGCTGTGCTTAAAAGTGAGTGATCGATTGTATAAGCACATTTTTAAATATGCGCACGCGTCAACTCAAGGGGGGCTTTTTAGAAAAAAATGTTACATTAACCGGTTAAAAGAGAATATTTTCGTAAGTTAGCTTTTCTAGTCAAATCGAAATTATGAATTAAACTCTGTGTTTATTAAAAAAATTTAAAGTGCTTTAAATTAAATTCAACCGATTATGGAATCAAGTACCGGTCCGCAACAAGGTAAGTGTTTAATTTTACACTAACTTAACCGATTTACGACTAATTTTATAAAAATTCTTTTCTACAGATAACGAGTTATATTACAACATTGCTGCATTGGATCTCAACTCTAATTCACCGGTTTGTGTTGACCATGATCAACTCGAGGAATTTGATGGTTCAACTGACAATGAACCAGACCGAGAAGTACTTTCAAATTCTCAAATAAACCGGTCTAACCCCAAAAGAAGGAGTTATACTTTGGATGAAAAGTTGGAAGCACTTAAGGTTATGGATTCATTGACCGGTAATTTGAATGCAACTGCTAAAAAATTGAAAATTGCAAGAAAAAATCTCTACCGGTGGCGCCAGCAAAAACAACTTATAATGGACCAAAAGAATGGTAAAGGAACCATGAGAACGATTCGTCGAATCAGACCGGTTGGATTAGGAAAATGGCCACAGTTAGAAGATGAACTAAAGAATTGGTTCAATCTTCGAAGGGAACGAGGACTTTCAGTTAACCGGTTACACCTGAAATCAGAGGCTAGGAGGTTAGCAACTTCTATGGGCATTGATATTCAGTTTACTTGCTCAAACGGTTGGTTGTCTCGATTTTTGAACCGGCATAATTTAAGCTTGAGGACCCCCACAAGTATTGGGCAAAACGTACCGGTTGATGCTCGAGATTTAGCAATACAGTTTTTATCATACATAGGAGATTTAAGAAATAAATATTCTTCTTCGAACCGGTTGATTTATGGAAACATGGATGAAGTGCCAGTATGGTTTGACTCCCCAAAGAACCGGACATATGATTTTGTTGGAAACAGGAGTATCTTTGTTAGAACAACAAATCATCAAAAAACTAGATTTACTGTTGTTCTTGCTACTCTTTCTACCGGTCAAAAATTGTCACCAATGGTAATTTTCAAAGCATCCAATAGGCGAATCGCCAAGGAACCTGAAGTTGAAGGTATCATCATGACCGGTTCAGAAAATGGATCCATGAACACTGAAGTAATGGAAAAGTGGAGATCAAAGGTTTGGTGCAAGCGACCAGACCACATACGTGCAAATATCAATCACCGGTTATCCAATTTACGCACTGTTCTTGTGATGGATTCATTTAATGTTCACAAAGATTCAACAATGCTAGGCAAACTTGACCGGTTGAACAACACTGAAGTTGCAATTATACCTGGTGGAATGACTAAGTTTTTACAGCCAGCCGATGTTGTTTACAACCGATGTTTCAAAAGCCACATGAGAACAGAATGGCAAAAATGGATGGAAACCGGTCCTTTTGAATACACACGTTCTGGTAACAGAAAACACGCCAGTTATCATCAAGTTTGTCAGTGGACAAAAGCTGCCTGGGATGCTGTACCGGTTGAAATGATAAAGGAAAGTTATCATAAATGTGGCATCATCGATGAGGATGAAAGCGAAAGATTTCATATCCAACTGTTGGATTTAATAACCGGTAATAATTTAAATAACGAGGAAAATGATCCCACCGGTGTAAGTGACGAAGAACCAGAAGATTTTGATTAGAAAAAAGATGTTTATTGATATAAAAATATTTTTTTATGACCGATTATTTTGTTAAAATTGAAATTACAATGAAATTAAATATAATCTTCAAAACCGGTTACGCGAAGATCTGCCGGTTTGAATTTGATATTAAAAAGAGTTTCTTTAAGCCAAATCTTATTTTTTGTCTCAAATGAGTTCAACCGGTCGTATCCAATATATTTTCTTAAATCTTCGTTCCAAGTTTTGAGATCGCGAGGAATAATCTCTAGACTTGCTGCTGATGAAAGAAGCGGAAGATTCGATCCTAACCGGTTAATATTTATAAAAATCATTTCCATCGCTTGAATCGCCAAATAGATTGATTTATTTATATCGGCCTCATTATCAACCAAGTTCCAAGAGAATTGGATTCCATGATGTAGGCAAACGGCGAAATCTTGAGGCAACGACCGGTTAGGTATTATGTATTTAGATAATCCAGGCAGTTTCCAATTTTGACCACTGAAAAAAAAGATAAAAAAAAATTATTTATTTTGTTATAGACCGGTCTAAAAACTTACCTTTTTACAAAATTTCTATTTATTTCACCCAATAAGAAAGAAAACTTGGCAAAAGTCAAATCTCTGTTATTTAAATTTTTACCGGTTTTGATTTCGATTTCGAAATCTGATGCCAGTTTTATTTTGGCTATACCTGTCCTCTTATCCAGGTAATTTTTCAGAGACATTTTACCTATAACCTATTAAAAGTAAAAAATAACCGGTCAAAAAAGAGTTTAAAAGCCAAAAAATTTCTATATAAAACTTACCAAAAATTCTTCAATAGCACGAAGAAGCATATTATTATTGACTTTAGTTAACAACCGGTCCAAAAATGTATCTTTGATAAAATCAATATCGGTTCTGTTGTCAGATTTTTTCACCGGTTCAGAATTTATAACGACAGTAACATGGCTCCATGGTCGAATAATGCCAGTCCAACCGATGATTTCCTCTTTTGGGACTCCAAAAACTTGACCAAATTGGGTTTGTATGTTTTTGCCCTCTTGCAAAATGACCGGTTGACTTGTATGGCATTGACCATCAGAATACTTAGAAACAAAAATTGGATATCGGTCCAGAGTCTCGTCATCATTTGTTTCAATTAACCGGTAATGATGGTTGATCATTTTCATCAGTTCCTCCGCAATAAGTTTGTCAGGATTCTTGTCAGGGTGGAAATTCAATGCTAATTTACGATAGCTAAAAAACCGGTAAAAATAAGGTTAAAATATACACAATATAAATAGAATAAAAAAATGACTTACATTTTTACCATTGACTCCTCGGAAGGATCAAAAAGTTGAATGAGATCGGTTGACCGGTAAACCATAATTAAAATTTGCACAAATTAAAATTTTCACAAAATAAAACAATATAATAAAGTGTTTGTTGAAAATAAAACAATGAAACTGTCAACAAGACGCTTAAAACCGGTTTATATGGTAAAAACTAGAGACGCGATTATAAGCCCCCCAGCGCCTCTATTGAGTAAACTTTGCGCTTATAAACGCGAATTTGCATTTTGAAGCGCCGCGCTATAATACGCGTCGATACGGTAATAAAATTAAAGTTGATCAATAGGAGAACCTACAATTAGATTGTGAACAGTTAATTGTTTAATCTGTTCAAGACTCAATCAACATGAATCTTGCTGATTAACTTGTCCAACAGTTGATTCCCTTTTTAAACCAGATTATTGAATAACAAATGAATAATGATTACAGCCCGAAGCCCGATTTAGTTTATGGTTTGAACACTTAATCAATTACTCAATAAGAGTTAATTATTACTGATTAGCTTGTCATTATTGTTTACCAAAAAGTCAACTGAAACATTTTCAACCAGAAAACCTAAAATCTGGTTAAACCAATTCGAGTTTCAATCAGATAATTTAATAATGACAGATTTTGCATGTTAATCATAAAATCTAAATAATTGTCAAACAATTGACAAGTTGATAAAGATTAATCAATTGACTGACCATTGAAATCATTGAAAACATCAAACCAAAGCTAAAAATAGACTCAATATTTAAACAGTAAATCATTAAAAGATAAAATCTAGCAACAATTAAGAGTTAACAATAATTAGCTAAATTTGAACATTTCTTGCGAGTCTTTTCATGATTTGCTCACAAAATGGACTCAAATGAAAACAAATTAAAATGCAAAGCATTTAACTTTGATTGTTACACTTGTTTTGATCATTTGATAAAGCAATTCTTTCAAGTCTATTAATAACTAATTGATTGTTATCAAGTGGTTTCTGTTTCGCCAAAGATTGTTTCAATTCCAGCTCTTTTCTGAACACAACAATGAATGAATTATAAGCAATTTTCATTTTCACTTGTCACCCTTAAGATGATTACAATGGAAAGATGCATTCAAATTGTGATAAATTCATTCAATGATTACAACTATCAATTTCACTATAACCATCATTTTACAATAGTTAAGTGATAGTTGTAATCAGAATCAGAATGATACAGAATGAAAATATTCATCAAAAAGCATCACTTTTGTGAATGTTGGAATGATTGGAATCAAAGAAAAAGGAAAATCTAAATTGTAAAATAGCACCAATCAGTTCGATGATGACCTTAAAATTGAATCTTTGGTCAGTGTGAAAGTGAACAGGTTAACCTGAATTCCGATAAAAAGAGTAATCTTTTGATAACATGTTCAGAGGTTGGTCAAAAGCGATTCATCCATTAATACATGATCGGTTCAATGGTGAAGCTCAATTTAAAGACTAAATGTAAATCAGTTGCGATTAAGATTAAAGTTGAATGGACAATTTGAAAGTTGAATTGCAATGAATATCTGAATGTTTAATCTTTAAACTCTTATTGTTATATTACATTTTCAATTGTTTTTTCATTCATTTTGATAGTCAAAGTTAATGATGAAGATAATTATGATTATGAAGATGATGGTAACCATTTGAAAATCACTTGGCAAACCTTAATTTTTCAGGCTGTTTAATACCTCATCTTGATCAGGCAAATTAAAAGGTCTTGTTACAAGTTGAGTTGATTACGATAAATTAAATCAAAATTGCGTGTTTCTCATAATAAGGGTTGTTGTTACTCAAGGTTGCCTTTTACACAATTATAATAGTAATGATAATTTTGTATCACATTTGATTGATGAATAAACCACGCTTTAAATTATCTTCATCATTAACTTGTATGTTACCTACGATTTGCATGTTAAGAAGCAAAAAGTCTTTTACTAAACCCGTAAATTGTGAACCAAATACTGTGTAATATTTAGCTTCTCATCTCATTATTGTATGTATTTTTGACGTTTTTTTGCTTGATACAAATCCAAGGTTTTGGTACAAGCAATGAACTTTGTGAAGGTCAATTCTGGAACTGGCCATTGCTCTGATCAGTTTAATGCATCAATAAACCATGTAATAACTGATCAACACCAAGAGTCAATCTTGTAAACAATGTTTACTCTTGTGAACATCAATCCATCAAAATAATATAAATATTATTCCAACCATTTGATTACTTCATCATCATTATATATTTACATTGGTGATTGATTGTAAATTAACTTGTACCTGTCTAATCAAATTGACAATAATGATCTCTGAAGGTTAACCCAAAAAACTGAACATTTAATGAACCAATATCAGTCGACTATTTACTCTCCATCAGAATCGGTTGGACTGTCTTTGATTGAAATCACTTTATGACAACAATTTACTCAGTTGACAAAATATTGAAAATAAAAGCGTTTCCTTGTATTTCCTTGAGTTTGGGTAAATATATTTTCTGCTACCATTTCAATGGATTCAATTTGAACGTTATTTGATGGTGAAATTGCAATTGAAAATTATCACAATTTGATTTGAAGCTTGTAAAGTAGCAAAAAGCTCATTATGGTGGTAAAAATGGTACCATCCTGAAATACGGAAACACTGAACAAAACAGGATAATCTTTTCTTCTTTTCCTTACGATTGTATCTTCTTTAGCTAATCATGATCATCTTGTTCAACTAAATTTAATCCTCCTTCTTTTACCTCTTTCCCTAAATTGTGGTAAAATTGTAATCAATTGTAATTCACTTTGCTTTTTCTTCCCATAAAGTAATTTGTATTTATGAGATTTTTTAAGGTTGCATTTAACCTGTTGTAAAAGTTAAATTATTTGTCCAACAATTAATCCCATTGTAAAAGCTAGTTTTGCCTTTGATTGTGCCAATAACATGAATCCAAATCCAAGACAAATTAATCTGATGATCGAGGCTTTTGTTTACCTCTCATCAGTAAGTTAATCAGCCAGTTGGAGTAAAATGGAAAGCAAAACCGGAACCAGTTATCAGGTTTGGGTTAGATGAGTTTGGGTTTATAAGTGAAAAGAAGCTGTAAAAAATGGGTAAAAAAAAGCAAATAATGAACAGTGTATATTTGAAACAAAATCAACTGTCTATTGATTCACTTTCATTATTTAAACACAATCATCATCAACTTACCTTTTCATATTGGTTTATATATAAAATTTAATTTATTTATAACTTAGGTTGGGTAAGCAATAAAAAACGATCAAAAGAAATGCACAATCAACACCCAAAAATCAACAAATGAAAGTTTAATTGTTTTATATTCACTCGCTTACATCCACTAAGATCGTTTGTATAACCACCAACTTACACCAATAGGAAACGCAAATACAAATCTAATACAAAAGCCAATGTTGATATCAAGTGTGGTTCAGATCACGACACCTTTGTGTGAAAGTCGCAATTGGGTTTCATTAGAAACAAAAATTTTACCCAAACGAGGTGACGACTTGAATCAATGACTTTGGAGGAAACTTGTAGAGTTATGAGAGATTCATGATTCTGGTCAAATGTTGAATGTTATCAAATTTTCGCCATAAATACTGTAAACCAGCGACTTGAGCGTCTTTCATAGGTGCTATCGTCAACTGGGAATATACCATCAGGTGTAATGCGAGAAGAAAGCAAAATTGTTAACTGGTTTTGGTTACCTTCAACACTTTTTTTTATACCCATACACTTGTCCCTTGTTAAGACTCTTTCTGTTTACTGTCTATTTTTTTCCAGTTACTCTTCACTTTCTGCTTTTGCAAAAATAAAAATTCATCAACAAAACTCACTCAACTCACTTCATCTTCATCTTCTGGAAACTCCTTCAGAGTTAAGTTGAAACTCATTCCATCAAAATCTGTTTTTTAACAGTCGCTCTCAACCTTTTCCCTGCTTGTTCACTCCTTTTTTTAGTCTTTTTTTTAATCCTTTCTTTTTTTCTTTTTCTTCTTCTTTTTTCTCTCCAGCTTCTTCGGTTCCACCATCCTCTTCATCCTCATCATTGGTATTTAGTATCAGTCCATTGAATTGTCAATGCAATCAACTGTATCATGTTTCGTTAGCAGCTACTGGAAACATGTTGCATTCAATTGACTTTACCAGTTAACTGAAAGGAGCCACAAAGACAGTCAATATTGATCCACAGAGAAACATGAGATTCAATTGAATGTGCAACAGTTTCATCCATTCAACCTAAATCCTGGTTCAACATTCATGTGGCTCCGTTATCATGCTCTTATCCATCTCTATTTAGCCTGTGAGTGCAGTTCATTTCAACTCTTTACTTTTGTGCAAAATTATTGATACATTTTCCTTCATCTTTTCCCCTCCACCTCCACCTCGTCATTTTTATCTTCCTCCTCTTCCTCCTCCTCCTCCTTCTTTGCAGGGCTCAAGTAGGAGGTGATTTACAATTTGATTGCTGCTACCGAATTGGGTGAAAATTGAATTATCTCATTCTGTTAATTGTCAACAAACTGTCAACATTTATCTGACTGTGCCACCACTGGAATCTTGAATCTCAAATTCATTTTGTTGAATGTTTCTTTTTTTTCCGCTCATTTCCAACACCAATTCATTGAATTGATCAGCCAACTTGCACAACTGATATGATTGCTGAATGATTTTGTCTGATGCTGTTGCTGCTTCTGCTGCTGCTATTAAATCATCTAGTTTTATGTGAACACCACTGAACCGGAAATAACCTTGTTCCTTGATTGATAACCCATAACTGGATTTATTCAATTATTATATCCATTTGAACTTGATTTATTGTGTGTGACTGTGAATTATTATCCAAATGTCACTCTATCAAACACCAAGAGCAAGAATAACAATGGTTCATTTGCTGATCACGGATCACTATTAATATCTTAATATAACAAATTTACCCGCAAAAAAATTGTGATTTTGACTGATTTCTTATTCATATTAAACAGCTTTACAGCTTAACAAGTTCAAGGCACAGAAACTGGGATTTAATTTTTACTAATCAACTTTACCAGCCAACATAAACACAAACCAGCAAAGGTAAGCATAAAGTCACAAATCATTTCAACTTCTCTGTCAACCCAAAAACCATTGATCTCAGCTGATCATCAAATTACCAATGAAGCCATCAGAAGCAATGAATAGTTGCTTGAAAAAAATGATGTCGATTCATTGAAATTGTGATCAATTGCAGGAAATTGTGATTATCAAATAATGCCGATTGTAAGGAAATGTTAAAACTTTCAATAAAACCTTTTCCACCAATAATTACACCAATAATGATAATTTACAATAAGCTATCATGACAGGTTAAAGATGCAAAAGGTGTATTTACAAGAGTAAAAGCAAAAGCAACAAAAAAACATGAAAACTGTCAACATAACAATTGGACTGCAATTGAGGCATTTCTTGTTGCTATCGTTAATTAAGTTCAATTGTAAAGAGACAATCAAGACTCTTAATCATTGATCATTAACAAATTGAACTTTCATTTGCCTGCAAGTAACACAAAAAGCAACAACAACAGCAAAAATAATGATAGAGAGATGAAGAAGAAGAAGTAAAAATGAGAAACAAAAAAAGCAAATTACCTTTCACCCTTTTCACATAATTCTGGTTCAATGGCCATGATTAAAATCATAATGATCAATTGTAAATGACTATGATAATAATGATTATGATCAGGTCAAAGACGGAAATCAATTTGTTGTTCACCCGCCGGGTAAATGGTTGACGTTGGGCGAACTGATCAGAAAGCACATTGAAAGCAACCAAGTTAACCTCTCATTCACTTAAGGCTGTTCTTACCTTATTTCAAGTTTTCATTTTCATCATCATGGTTATCTTCATCTAGATACCTGTTGATTAGCCTTAACAAAAATGCTCAACACTGCTAAAACTCTCAATGTTTACCTGTTATACCCTCAAGATATCAAGCTTGTTTCACTCACAAACCGTTGAGCCTTCCTCTGTAAAACCATTATCTTCTTCATCCTCATCCTAATCACCATCATCTTCATCTTAAATTATCATTACTTTATGGTTTTATCAGATTGAAAAACATGTAAACCCACAATAATAGGAAAAAAACTGTTTTCTGTTGTTGGTTAACTGTTTTGGGTTAACTGGTTTAACCTTTTGTTTATCTGGTTCAATGTTACATTCATTTTTACATATTATTATTATGAATGCCAAAAGTGATTCAATCATTTCAAACCTTTTATCCATCTCTGAATACCTTACATGATGTTTATTTGATTAACTTTTTTTACCATTTATATTGTGATAATAAAATATCCTTTCAAATGAGAATCACAAATGAAAAATATATTTCCTTTCATTTACTCTTCTTTTGATAGACTCTTGTTTACAGTTTGAATGTTACCTTATTTCAGATGCCATTTAAATCAAATTAAACCTTCTTTATATCATTTAACAATTTATTTACTTTTAATATTAACATTGATGATGATTAAAAAGATCAATCATTTACTACTCAATTCAATTGGTCAGATAATAACACATTAACAGTCCATTTGCTTTCCAAATACCACTCAATTGAACCAATTTATATATCAACATTATTTGTATTTCCTAATAATATACACAAATTCATGTTCATTTGAAACAATTTAATAATTTTAAATTAAATTTTAGCAGCAAAACAACAACAAAATCAAAGCTCTTACATTAAACATCATTTTTTTGGGTTTGGTTTGATCGCAACTTTAATTTACCTGAAATGGTTAATTGTTATTTAAATTTTAGCAACAAATTTACTAATTATTAAACATGAAAATGAGAACAAAAAATTAACAGTCGAGTTAATTATTAACGTTTTATGATCAACCAACAGTTAACCTTGTTAATGGGAATCTCTTAATTTAAAGGAAAATGCTTACCTTGATCAGTCTACATCTTCATTTAAACCAACCATGATGATCAACTGATTACAATTGAAGTGCTTTTAACCATTAAAATACATTAAAGTCTACTATTAACTTAAACACATAAGCATTACAATGTAATTTGATCATTTAAATGAGTGCAATTATAAACGATTAGACATTGAGATATGTTACAGTTAATAAGCAAAAATGATATTTAAATAGCAAACCAGAATTTCTTGAACAGTTGAAGTTATTTTCAGATGAAATTGAATCGATTAAAGCGATTGGATTTGGGTTAAGATTTGCTTCAATCATTTCTCTGTGTCATTATTGGGTTTATTTGGTGCAACCCAAATATTAAACCAGAGTTTTAATGAGAAGGCAAAAAAATGATGATAATGTGATAATTATGAATATGATTAACTATGAAATATGACAAAATTAATTCATTGAATCTTGTTGGAGGATAAAAATGAGGTCATAGATTTAATTGTTTCACCAGTTGATCAGGTGAACAATCAGAGAGACAATGAGATGATTTAGGTTAAAGTTGATTGTCTAGTGTTAAGTGAAAGTCCAATTGGAAACAATGTTAATTGTGTGTTACCAGTGAAATTAAATTTTGTTATTGATTGCCACTTTCAACCCAAAAATGAGACTTCTGGTTAAACTGTTCATTGGTAACAATTTGTAAAACCTTGGTTAACCTAAATTGCTATTGATTGATTACAATGTAAAATGAGTTATTAGTTTCAAGTTATTACCTTGAAATGAATAGCAAAACCTAAAGCAATTTATTCATTATTTGTCTTTAATTTTGTTAGTTAATCTGAATTACAGTTGAATTGTTTTTAACAAATTCATGTTGAAAATATTTTCCATTTTTAAACAATTAGTCTTTCACTGTTGCCAAGGATAATCAATTGACAGGACAATTTGTTTCTATTATTGTTTTTAATTTAAATTGTCATTTAATTGTGTTAAGTTTCGAGGTTAGTTAAAGAATCATATAACAGTTAACAAATTAGAAGCAATCAGTAAAGCTTAACAATCACTTTGACTGGTTAACTAGAACAAAAATGTCTGCAGAAAAGTGAATTTTCAATTTGACGTTATTTTGTTTTTACTGAATTGATTAACAGTTATCGGTCAAGGAAAATGTTAATCATTGATTAGGATTATCATATATTTAATTAACATTTCTGGCTAATCAAAATTGTTGGATAAAAGACTCAGCTGATTCAGCTATAGCAACTAGGTAAAGCCTGACAACAAAAAATAGCAGAAAATGAAAAATTGTAATGAAGCGCATTAATTTTGAATGATTGCCGTCTAATTGAAATTGTTGATTAAACTGATGATTTAACTGATGATTAAGCTGATGATTAAATTATGGTTGATTTACAATGATGAACAAGGGTTTAGATACAATTGGAATGGTTAAGGTGAAAGTGAAGAGATGAAGACACAAATAATCAATTTGTTGCTCATATTGTTAACTGTCAAAGTGAAGGAAGTCAATTGAAAAAATATAAGATGATTTTGGATGATAATGATGATGATTAGGATGATTAGGATGATTGGGATGATGATGAGTGAGAAGTAACCTTGAATTGATATTACGTTGAAAGTTACCTTGTTTTTGTATTGTCAGTTCAACTTGATTGTGTTAAGTTGTCAATTGATTGTTGCTTTAATACAATAAATTGCTTTCCTTAATTATAACTTGTACATGGATCCATTGATAACCATAATTTGTGTGACAACCTTTTACAATTAACCATTGAATCGACATTTACTGAACACAAGTTACCCTTTGATTCTTGTACTTAATATTGTTTAAATGTTGAACGCTTTCATTTCCAACTGATTGTCAACCGGTTAATCTAATCTAATCGCCAATTGCCATCAACTTGATCATCATTGTTAATCTAAAGCCATTCAACAATTGGTTGATAAATCATCAAATTGTTTCTCCACAATCAGTGTCCAACATAAGCTTCAGAATTGATTGGAGAAAAGGTTTCAAAGGTTTTAATCAACATAATCATGATTCCAATGGGGGTTTCAAGGTAAAACTAAATTTAGTTTTTCTTTCATTTTCTTCGATGTTTGTTGCTTTTTAATTCTTGTTTAGCATTAAACAAATTAACCCGATTGTTGATTAAATATGCGCCTTTGAAATTAAATTTGTAAATTGTTGTTTTGATGAAAACATGAAAACAATGGTAATAACGAGATGTTTGTTTGCCAAAGATGAACAATAACATTAACCAGAAATGAAGGTTGAATCGATGAAATCGACTTTAATCATGATTGTCAGAATTAAAGAAGATAGCAATTAATACATTGTATAAGAGTGTCATTTTACTGTTGATTGTTTTCATTTTTCAATCATTGATTGGGTTGGAGAGAAAAAGATGAAAGAAATCAATCCAAATTTGATTGCTTTACTGTTTAATTTTCTCTACTAATCATGATGATTGTTGATTTTTTGTTGATCCCATTTCTGTTTCCTTGTTTTTAATGTTGATTTTGTTTGTAATTCCTATCAATTTGCTTTTCGTCTTTTAAACCTGACTGTTTAGAGGTTAAATTGTTTGATTTTTGATAGCAAGTTGAAAGTTGTTACACTGAATTACACTCATCAATCAAGGCTTTTTTGTTCATTATCTTTCAAGTCCATCTTTTGCTTTTGCTTGCTTCACCATTCAACTTTCACCATGATCGTTATATTCATCACCAAAAAATGACTTTCGTTTGGTCCAATCATCTTGGCACGTTCCCTTGGTTTTCCAGCTCTTGCTGAGCTCTGGGCGTTCAATTTTGCACCTCTTAAATTGTCCTTGATCATTGTCAGTTTGACAGATTAATCAAAACCCACAGTCGGTTGAATAGTAAATTCAACATTGAATCCATCCACTTTGAATAACAGGCTTTAACCATTAACCACACAATTACGTTTTACCAATCAATAACGGTACAATATTTTGCATTTATTGCACTTTTCTTGTTTACTTTTAATTTGCTCCTTCACCATATTGAATAGTTAAATTGTTGATTGTTAAGCAAAAAGCACACATTGAAATGATTACTTTGCCAATCATGAATGAGATTCACTTTTGATATTGAATACATACACATAAAAGTAAATCAGTTCAAGAGTGACAATTTGATTTACAACCCATCAATATAACACGAGCAAGAGAAGGCTGCTTTTTGAATTTACGATTGATTTATCCAAGAATTACCATCAAGATATTCACGTTTCAAATATGATTGTTCAATATCATGGGTTGCCATCGTTGCCATCATTTATAATCATTTATAACTGTTGATCTGTTAATAGAATGAAGGGAAAAACATTGTTACATTTTTGATATTTTATACATTCATTAATGTGCGTTTGTTACACTTTATATTTTAAAACTGTGATTCTCACATTTTATCGTCTCTACCTGAGTGTTATCCTGTTATGTTTGTTGATTCAATTTAAGTTTGAATAAAAGATTCAAGTAGGAAGATTTGTCTTGATCTTTCAAGGCCTGAAACAGGTTAAAGTGAACCATAATCATTGAGAAAGAAATAATTTTTCATTTTCTGTTTCATATATTTATATTTACCTTCAACTTATTGGTGTACATTTAAATCCTTAAAACAAATCTTTGATAGTTTCAATAGCTGAGTAAAAACATGATACCATTAAAATGGCCTTTTATTTTGCTCTGCCGAGGGTTGCAAGAAATGTGCTCCGCTTTATCGTCCCTTTTCGTTCCTTTTTTTCATCATCATAATCATCTTTTGCTTCTTAACAGTAAGACAGATAATGATTACGATAGCTCGGTGAGTTGCCTTCAAGATTAACTCAAGATTAATGAGGTTAACACTAAAATGGACTTGTTGATTGTGACTGTTTCTTTACTTGGAATGGTGATATTGTTAGGCCTGGCAAAGGAGGAGAAGAAGAGGAAGATAAATGAAGAATGGTCAAGATATGAATCAACAATTGTTTCAAGTAAATTGCGGCTGACAAACTGGCCAATGTTTCTCAACATTGACCAAACAAGGTTTAACAAACAATGAATAAAAGCTTAAAAAGCTGAGCAACTTTAAAATTCAAAGCTTCTCAGCAATCTGTAAGACTTTTAGTTACACTTTTCATCGTGTTTTGTTGATAATTTAGTTTTGTTTGGTTTTCCATCCAAGTCTATTCAATAGCGTTTTAAGTTGGTCAAAATTTTTAGATCATACTTTCATGGTGTAAATTTTAAGGCTTGAATCGTGATTTTTAAACCATCTTCTGGACATATCAGTAGTCATGTAATTTGATGTTGTCTATTATGTGGTCTGATTAGATAAAAAACACCATTAACTTTTCATGGAATCCAATGCATTGGCCAACTTTTCAAGCATTGTGTTTCAGCAACATTGAAGAGTCTTGGTAGATAGGGTTGAACATATGAATAAGTTTTAAATTGCTTGAGCTTCAAGATTAACTTTACCACCATCCTTGTGTCTACCATGATTAGATTGAATGAACACGTCTAGATGAGACAATTAAATAATCGCTGAACAAATGTTTTCTTTCAACTGTAAAGGTGCAATTTTTACGAAGTATTACAGGTGAGATCTTTTTTCACAACGAAATGCAATCCTTCAATGTATTGTAATCGGAAACAATTGTTGATAGTGTTACAAATTATGTATTTAAAATTCACTTTCAATCCTTGGCGTAACTTCAGAGTTGACAATCATCTTTTAAACACAGTTATTGTGTGTTTTTGGTGCAAGTGCAACTTTGATTTTCCATGAAAACTGGTGAGAAAGTTTATCATCATGCTAGATAATCCTTCAGTTTGAAATACAGTTGCGTCAATTTTTAAACACATTTTCCAAAAAAAAGCTTTATCCAAAGGTGATTGAAATACATAAATAGATTGTGACTACCACAGAAAGAAATGACCTGAAAGAAACAAATAAATAAAGACAATAATTAATCAATCTGTAGATTATCTGATAATATCATTGTTATAATCAAATGGTATAAAATTGTGGTCAAATAATCACATTGGCAGACTTTTTTAGGTTGATCATTTGACTACTCGACAATCAGGTTGAATACCTTTGGTGTTACTAAAATACAGTGCATCCAATAAAAAGCTAATCAAGAATGTGTATTTGAAACAATTTGATAATGATTATGATTAGAATGATAATAGTGGTGATGATGAAAAGAGTGAGAATTGGTTAAATTAACAATGAGATGATAAAATTGTCCTTGAATAAGATACCTTGTTTGAGTTACTTTGTTTTGTTTAGCCAGTTCAACTTGTAATAAAATTACAATCAATCTGCTTTCTTAATTATTAACTATACCACATCACCATTGGATGATTAACGTTAAAATTGTGTCCCTGTCAATCTTTGTGTGACAATTAATCCAGCATCCAAGTGAACAATTACATTCCAAGTTACTTCTTAAATTGTTGTACATTTTTAACTCAACCTTTTCAATACTGTCATCTAAGAGATCTAATCTTGATTTTCATCATATTCATCATCAATCATCATCTTCATATTCATCATATTCATCACTATAATCATCTCAAATTTAACATTGTTAATAACCATTTGAACCATTTTTGGGTATGAGTTCAACCTTTTATAACGGCCCAGCCGATCAATTTAAAGAATACCTTTTCAAAATATTGGTTATTGGTGAGATTGCTTCTGGTAAAACCTCGTTTGTTAAAAGATATGTTCACAAGTTATTCTCAACCAATTATCGGTCCACCATTGGAGTCGATTTTGCCCTGAAAGCGGTTAAATGGGGTGACGATAAGATTGTCCGAATCCAATTGTGGGACATTGCTGGCCAGGAAAGATTTGGCAACATGACCAGAGTCTATTACAAGGAGGCTGTTGGTGCATTTATCGTCTGTGATGTTACCCGTAAACAAACCCTAGATGCTATACCAAAATGGAAAAGTGATCTCGACTCGAAAGTGACTCTTGCCGATGGTTCCCGAGTACCCACTGTACTCTTGTTAAACAAATGTGACATGGAAAAAGGTGAATGGGCTTTGGATACCATATTTTTAGACTCCTTTTGCCGTGATCACGGGATTGAAGCTTGGTTTTACACATCAGCCAAGGAAAATATAAACATTGATGAGGCGGCTCAGTTTTTGATATCATTAATTATGCAGAAGCAAAATTCATTGGATCGAGATGATAATTTTAACGAGAGCATCAAAATAACCCGACAACAGGATGATTCAACTCCAGTCAAGACATGTTGTTGACAAGCCTGAAACAAATATACATAAAGAGAGAGGGGAAGAGAGAGAGAGAGAGAAAAAGATAATTAAAATCATTTGATCAACTGAAATGAACTGATTAAAAAAAATGATCTTACCAAGTTATAATTATTTATTGCAACCAACAATTACTACAATTGGATAAATTGGTTGAAAAATTTTATGTGATCGATGAAAATCCTCCTTCGAATCCTGTGAATACCTTCAAGGCAGACCTGAAAGAATTGGTTAATTAAAGGTGATATTTTTAACAACATCTTGTACATGTTTTGAATTGTTAATTTCATTTACCAAATTGAAACCTTACCTGATAAATTGATTAATAATTCAATCATCATAAATACATAATGTTGATAATGCAAGTAGCTTTGAAATTTATGAAACACAAAAAACACTCACTTCAACAATCATTATTTACAATCGCGATAAACTACTTCTAACTCTATTGATATTAATAGCAATATTAACATGGCTATTAATATAAGTTGAAAATGTAACGTTAAAAAACTATTTTCAATCTTGATTTACCTTATTGTCCTATTTTTTGTGCAAATTGATTAACTATTTAACCTCCAAATCTATCACTATTAATCAATCACAAAGTTCAAACTCTGACATTTACATGTTTGACTTGAAATTTGTACAAAATTTAAACTTGTTCACCAAAAATCTGAATTACATTGAATCGTTAAACCTTTTTAACACTTGAAATTGTTACAGAGTATAATTGTTTACTGTACATTTCCAATGACTCTCAATATTTTCAATTTATCATATCAAATGATGATTTGGTTCAATTATTGACCAAATTTGCTCCATCATTAAACATTTCACTTTCTCTTCCTGAAAAACGATTCCCAATTTTTATGATTAGTCAATGTAATCGTAATTGTATGTATCATCATCACAGTGATTCATTACACTGAAATTAGGCCAAAAATCAAAATCTAGTTTTGCTGTCTTTCAATGCAGACTGTATTGTTGATCAACCTGAAACTGAAGGGAGAAAAAAAAAGAATCATATTTAGTAAAATCAAGAATTGAATGTAAAACATGATATATAAATTATTACGGAAGCTGAGCAACAATTTAGGAAACATTATTTAGCCCCTTTTTAATTGTTTACAATGACAGAGCATCTCAACGTCTTCCGCCTTTTTTTACTTTTACCAATCTTGGCCATCTTCACTTCAACACCTTCCACCTTTTTGATCACCTAAACTCCAATGGAAACAACAATTGAAATTAAACATATAATATACTAGTTTGAAAAAAAGTACAATATATTACTACAATAATGGTGATAAATTAAAATAATAACAATAAACAACAAACCAAACGTTACCATATTTTATGGTATTAAAATATGTATTACCAATAGGTTTACTTAACAATGGTTTAAGCCCCTAACAAGGGTGAGGTTATAACTGTGAGGCCTCAAACTTAACTCCTTCATTTCCCATCATTATCATTATCATCGCTATCATTATCATCATCATCATCGTTTTTTTGTATTATTGTTATTTCTTATTCTTAAATAAGTTCTGCTCGAGTTGTTGTTTTGAACAGTTAAAAGTTTCAACTTATAACCATCTCTTGATACATACCTTTATGATTTTTGGCTGCAGACGATGCATCTTCTGATGTTGTTTGACTACTGCTACTGTTTATGATCCAACCAACAAACTTTCCACAATTTAAATTCACGATTATAATTGACGATATTAACCTTCGGGTGTGACCATTAAGAGGTGCAAATCCATCAACCGTTAATTGTTTTAATTGTCACTATTTTAATGATATACACTTAAACTATTTATTTTTGTTTTACTTAACGTTAACAAACATTTTATTTAACATTGTCTTCAAAGAGTGTCGCTGTTGTCAACTATTATATCATTTTTTGTTTCATATTTTATAATTTATGCAACGCGGTAACATTGTTTAGACATTTCAAATGGACTTTAATTGTTGTTTATTATACCTTGTGTTAAACCTTGACCATCTTAACTTAGTCTGATTTTTTTTCATTCACATGAAATACCTTTATTGTGATGTTTCCATTTTTCAAGAGATACCATGTAACAAACAGTCTGCAATTGTGAAATTTTGGTCTAATTCACTTGTCAAACAGATGATTGTAATATAGATTGTGTATATTTTATTATGGTTCATCTTTACTCGATTTATGTTATGCATGAGGTTAGCTTAATATGATAATAGTGACAATTTATTGTTAAGTTATTGTTATTGCGTTGCCATTATTGTGTATCATTGTGATCTAGTTATTTATTTATTAGTTTCTTTTTAACCTTATTTTTGTTTTGGTTTTGTCTCTTGTCACTTTTGTTTTAGATGAAAGTTAAATGGACTCGTAATTTGGATGGTAATTCAATTATTGACCCAAATGAACCATTATCTAATTACAAAGGAGCTGATTTGATTGAAAAGTCAACGATACCCATGAGATCAAAAAGTCGTGAAAAAAGTGCTCGTGAGTCAACTGGATGTAACCTGATATTTGGTCCAACTCGTAAATCAAGTTCCCATCGATCAACGTCGACATCATCAACAATTTCCAGTTCATCATCAAATTCAACACCAGCTCCATCATCGCAACAACAAAATCAAATTGAATCTTCTGCTCCACCAACAAGCGAATCTGATCGTACAACAATGACAAAGCTTAGCAACTTTCTGGGTATATTTAAATTAACTCCTTCATCGGCTTCATCTACTAATGGTTCAATTAAAAGTACTAAATCTGCACAGCAACCAACCTCAATTAAAGTTGTTCGTCGAGGGAATAATAAAAATGAAAATGATGGATTATTTCGCACCGATTCAAGAAGACGTCGTCGAGCCAATAATTTATTACAACGCAATTCAGATATTCGTAGATCATGGAATGCTGCAATGACTGGTCGTAGCGATCCTGTAATTAGAAGACCAGCCAGTCCAACTTATCGACCAACAAACACTGTAACTTATCGTTCAATATCACCATCAATAGCAAGCAATCAACAGACATCTCCAGGAGTCAATGGTTCATCTTCAAGGCCCTCTTCACTTGATGGGTCCGGTCATTTCGGTAACTCATGTAAAGTGAATTCAATGCCAGCCCCGATTGTGACATTACCAGAATGTTGTTTAGAAGGTTCCGATTCTGAAGTTGGACTAGATTCAAAGTTATCAACTTCACCTGAAAATTTAGAAACTCAGCATGTTAATGGCTTTTGTAATGATTGTGAACAATCAACAGTAACAAATGACTGTGATGAAGTTGATAAAATCAGTGTTGAAAAAGTCAACAAAATTATAAGACCCGCTGGTCCACCACCGCCACCTCCTACTACAACATCGGTATCCTTGGACGGTTCAGTACAATCCTCTGATGATGTTTTCATTCAAGTTCAGATAACTGCATCTTCCAAGTCTAGCAATGGCAGGTTATCTAATAAACACCATCAACAACAGCATCTACATCATCAGCATCAGCAACAACAACTACAACAACAACTACAACAAAAACAGCAAAAACATCAACAACAAAATGGACTTCAAAACTCTATTGACGTTATCACCGATGAAGCTGATCGGCCATTGAGTCCAATATTTGAATCTTGTACAGAAAAGGTCACATACGAAGAAAGTGTTTCACCTACTGGTTCCTTAATCGATTCTAGGACTGATTCACGGTCAAGCAATGAAGATGTAAACACCATTTTACGCCCTCCTTCATCGACCGCCGGATCATCTTCATCACAAGAGATGGCCCTCAGTGAAGATGGAGGACTCGGTGAATCTGTCTCTTATGATGCTTCCTCCGGATGCTCGTGGGAAACTAGTTCCATCCTGACTGGATCTGTTTGCTTGTCTCCCGGCTCAGCCACCAGCGAGGGAAATAGTGCCACTGAGATTTTATCACCATCATCTTTATCATCTTCTCCTTTACCAATATCATCATCAACTCCTCATCATCATCATAAAAACAACAATGTTTCCTCGCCCATAATGATCTCTGATCCAGTGTATAATAATAGCAATAGAAGTGGTGATATCAATGGTGATGATTACCTTTACGAACCTCGAATGTCAGAAGTTATCAGAGTTACCGTTAAAAAGGCTGAAATACCTGAAGTTGTTACCCTTCGCTCTGAAGATATCATTGATTTGGATTCATCAGGTTCCACGGAAGAAAACTCACCCTCTTCACCTTCATCTTTTTCATCTTCAATTTCCAGTATTCAACGGATTCGTAAAGGCAGTAAAACTGGAATATTAAAAGATTCAAATTGTCTCAACAACAATGGTGTCCACAACTGTCGCAGTTCAACTCCAAAGAAGGTTCATTTTGCCGAATCGGCAAAAGTAAGGACTACCAAATCACTGTCAACATCTCCAGGATCTTCACCCATTCCAGACGATTCCTCATCAAGTTATGATCGGTCATCTCCATTACCTCCTTCATCACTTTCACCTTTAAATTATTCCAACGGTACTACAATAACCACTTCAAGCACGGTTACTATTAAAAAGCCAACATCGTCATCTTCACGTCGTCTATTTCAGTCATCTTTGAACCAAAGTAATTTCATTCGAAATCATTCTAATTAAGTTTTTGTTTCGCCAGTTATTCGCCCATATTTTTGCATAGAACAACTTTTAGAAAGCTTTTTATTTTGCTTAATTTCCAACAACCTGCCAGTTAAAATGAGCAATCAAGTGATGATTATGAATTCCTCTTCCACTCTCTATCTCTCATTTGCTTTCCTATCATAATCTTTGCTTAATATCAAACAATGTGGTTTCTGATTCTTATTCAGGCTTCTTCCAATGTAGCCATTGATTAGATGGAAAGTGATTAATTCTGTTGATTAAGCATGAAGCCAAACAATAGTTTACAAATCATCAAAGTAAAGCTGTGCTCTACTATTCAGACTTTCAATTGTCCTTCAAATTCATTTACAAAGGTAAATGAATTAAATCTTAACCAATCAACCATCTCAATCAACTCTGTTATAACTTAAAAGTGAAATTCAGATCGATACCAAGTTGAACAATTAACAAACAGCAAAACCACATTGTTTAAGATGAGTTAATGATAGCCTAAGTAAAATAAATTGTTCAGATTTCAGGTTCAGGTTTAGAAAAGAAATTCCGAATTTAAAATTGAATGAAAAAAAGGCAAATCTATTTTTCTGTCTTATCGTTATACAATTGTCATTTCATTAATCAAAAGTATTTAATTAACCTTATTATCTTGTTATAAATCTAACTCTTCCCTTCCAATTTCATCTCGTTGACCAAAAAAAACAAAACAAAAGAGATTTAATTTAAATTGTAACAAACCAAAAGGAATGAAGAAAATAATATTGACCAATTTTTCATGTTTTTCACGTTGCTTTATAATCCATAATACAAATGACAACTTGTTGAGCTTAAAAATACCTTTTAACGTTATTAATTTACCCTTTAAATGAAATCAAAAAACGTCCAATAACAAATTAATTTGTCCATATTAATCAACCGTCTCAATTTCATTATTTGTTTAACGCGCCATTTCATAATTAGTTGATTAGTTAATCGACTAACACAATACTTACTCTAACCAGTGATTAATGGCAGCCAAGTATCTAAAATTGTCCATCAAATATTTCAAACCAAACTGAATCACTAATAGATTGCTTCCTACTCCAAGCCTAGTTCTTGATTTACTAACCAAGAAAATCAAAAAGACCATTGAGTGGACAATTTTAGTTGCTCGACTAATTTATAACAAATTGGTGATCAATACAAGACTGGTCAATCTGAAAATAACAAAAAATCTAGTTTTTATAAGGAACAATAATTTGCTGAAAATGTTTCCAAATTATCTTGATATTAATGTCCTACTTGTTTTATGTTTTTTAACCCATTTGGAGTGAAATTCATCTTAATATGCAATTCGTCAACAATTGTTAATGATTAACTAGACCAACTTGCATTAATTGTTGTTTCGTGTTGTTTCAAACATGTACTTATAACCCTTGCGGACTCTGCCAGTTTCACTCAAAAAGAGACAACAAATTGATGGACATTCAACTGACCAAAAGCAAGAAGGTTCCTGATTATTAATTAATGTAAAAAAGTGTTTCTTCCTACTACAATTTCCGTTGGTTAACTACTATTCATTGTTATTCTTGTCCTCTAAATTGTCCACTCTAAATATTAACCTTTTTTTTCAATTGTTAAAATCTTAGTGTTTACTCTGTTTAATTGGTTTATTTGGCTACTTGTGTAGAGCTGAATTGTTATCATCGCCGTTACTCTCGCAATCAACATCATTCATTTCAAAGCAAAACTTACAATTAATTTACTTATTCAAGTTATTAACATCTTTATCCCATCACCGTGACCAACCTGTATAATAACTGCTAACCTTTTTTTTCATTGCATCCTTCTTAATCAACACTTTTTTTCATCGTTTGCTAAATTTAAACGTAATTCAGATCGTTGCCTATTCTAATTGGTAAATTTACCTGTGAACAAATCATCGACTGTCTTTTATCAATCCCATCATCAGCAATCAACTGATCAGTGACTTAACCTACAATTAACCTGTGCTTCTCCAGCAAGCCAAAAAAAAGAGCAGACAAAATATCCAACAATAATAATCCTAATAATGATAATAATAACCTTCGACATCAATCTTACTCCTCACCTTTTTGTTTCTTACCTTACGTCAAAAATCATATGAGAGTGAAGAGGAATAAGAGGTTTCTCCTCTTTTGTTGGTGCTCATCAAACAAATTAATTGTTCAGTTGACAAGTTGTAGTGATTTAGATTTTAGATGAAACAAACATATTGTTTGATGATCAGTTAATTTAATCTTTAATCTTTTCTTTCTATTCTTTTTTCTCTCCTTTACCTATTCTCTCGTTTTCTGTCCCGAATTTTTTATTTCACTGTTGGCTATGATTCCCGTTGTTAACCAGCCAGCTTAGATGATCCTGATGTAAAGAGTGCGGTCCCAAATAAAGCTCATTATCAACCACCCGGCGCTGATGATTATTCAAGTGAACAGATTACACAATTTAATCCGGAGTCGTTTTGCCTATCAAACCAATCATTAGCATCATCAACATCATCATCGCCGTCATTAGCATCCAACAAACAACCTCGTGTTATTGGAGGCATAACTAATAGTAAAGTCGGTGGAGAAGGAGAAAAGGTTGAACCTGTTGCTGGTGAAAATGATGATCCAAATGAGAGTAAAACTAAATGGAGGCAAGTTAACCAGGCAGAAGGACGGAATATTAACAGTAAAAGTCAAATGATCAGCAAATCATCAAGCCATAACATTGCCACCATTAACTGTACCAGCTCGGTTGCACATGTACTTAATCAGAACATTAATGATAAAACAATTTCCATCTCTGCTAAAACGTCTACCACTACAGTTTCAAGCACAAATCATGATAATGGCAACATCAATAGTGGATTCCCTTATTTAAGCCGTGAGCTTGATGCTCATCGTAAATTATCGGCTCTACATCAGAGGAAACTGTCCATTGCTCGTGAAGAGTCTGCTCGTTCTTCATTAATCATCCAAGGATTAGGGGTTGTTGTGCAACGTTTGACTCAACAATTGGATTCCATGAATGGACCCACGCTGAGGTCACAATTGTCTCAAGTACAAAACAATTTTGATCAGCTTGATGCTCAATTTAGAAGTCAAGAGGAAGCATTAAGATCATTACAAGTCAACTACCATAAAGCTGAAAGTGAACTTAGGGAAGAGGTCAAGAAACTTACCTGTGAATTAGCCGATGAGGAGAGGCGCCATGAACGGGAAAAGATTGACCTAGTCAATTCTTTTGAATTGGAATTGGATGCTGCGAAGAAACAATTTAATGAAGAACTGGATAAAGTTGAAGAGGTTAAAAATGAGCTAAAGGCTCTTGCTGATCAACTCAAAGGCGAATTAAGAAACAAGGTTGATGAGTTAAGTAAAGCCAATAATCGAATGAACCAGATGGAGAAAAGTATGCGAATGGAACGGGATGGAAGGACACGTCGAGCCGAAGAAAGGATAACGTATTTGTGTAAAGAAATTCAAAGTCTCAAAGATGTTCTGGAATTGAAAGAGATAGACTTGAAAAGATTGAGAGCTCAAGTTGAAAGGGATGAAGGTTTGAGTCGTGATTTGGTTCGAGCTCAATCTACTATTGAAGTTTTAAAGCAGCGATTGGAACAATTGGAGATTGCTCGAAACTCGCAAGCAGATGCCATGAATAGATTGAAGGCAGAAAATGAAGCTTTAATTGATGAAATTGTTCGAGATCAAAGAGAAATGGATAAAATTGCTTTGAGAAAAGAAGAGTTGGAATACACTTTGTATAATATGGTTACAATTGGTGACGATGAAGGATACATAAACCTAAAAACCTCGGCATCATCGCCCTATGAATATGTAGATAATGTTTCATTCACTGAAGTCAACCATGCACCGACCATGGTAACTAATGGTCACGATCAGCAAAATCGTGAAATGAAAAATCCAAGAAATGATCTGAGAAGGAGACCAATTAACAGTGCCATTTTGGTCTCATCAAATGGTTTGCCTGCAACCAGTTCTAGTTCCAGCTCTACAACAGTGCGAGTCGAGAAAATTATTACCTCTGACCATTATAAATCAAGAAATGTCCAATCTCCAGATGGTCATGTAACTGCGAATAATGAAGTCATTCAAAAATACAGTCCTGATATGATAAATGATTCAGGATTTGAAGACATTTCCGTTTTCATGAAAACCAATGCTTGATTTGTTGTCTAGTCTTACTTTTTGAAATTAAGCAACTAAAATAGTTTTTAAACAATGAAAAATTAGAAGTTAATATAATAAAAATTATTTGATAATCAATTGCAGTCTTAATTTACACAATTGATTACACTTATCAACTTTAAAATGAACCTTTAATTAGTCCTGGAATGAATTTTTCCATCACAATATCCATCACCAAAACACACAACTTAAACTCATCGAGTTCACCAGACTAAGGAAAAAATTCACTAAAATATGAGCTTTCCAGTTGTTAATATAAATTTCATTTTCAGTATGATATAAAGTCTCAAATCAAACTTTAATCGATTAAATTTTATACAATTATTTGAGCAGATATTTGTGTGAGTTTATAGTTTGATGATTTGCCGCGGTAAGACGTTAAAAGTCAATTGATATTCCACGTGTAACATAATCTCCATTTAGATCTTCTTTTCACCCATATCCTCGATTGAATCTTCATCAACCTCAGGCCATTTCTCAGTAATTATGTCGAACAGATCATCTTTTACATCTCCTTGGATAACAACTTCATTACCAGTCACTGATGATCCACAAGCAAATTTTCCGGCAAAAAATTTGGAAGCTTCTTTTAAATCAATTTCAAAGGTTGTTAATCCGCTAACAATAGTAACATATTTTTTCTTGCCGCGATTAGCTCTCCATAAACCAATATGCCTATCAACTTCAGCCTTCTTTTTCGTTTTCACTATTCCTTTGCCTCCACGTTTTTGTCTGCCTGACTTTTTGCCACCTATTGAAAAAAGGGTGTTACTCATTGTAACCAAAATACAGTCAAAAATTGACCAAATAAATATTGTACTCACCTTCACCTGTCTCATCACCATCACCACCTTCAGCACCTCCACTAACATCAAGTAACTTTTCAAAATCGCTTGGTAAATTTTTCTCTAACCAAATTTTACACTTTTCATAATCAGGAAAATATGAGCAATATTCAATTGGTAGACCACATTCACCACAGTATTTCACTTTGACAGGAAAAGTAACACCTTCAAAACGATTCACAAAATTGGGATGAACTTGCATGATGGAAAAAAATTGTAAAAACAATCGAACTCAAAGAGTAATATAAAAAAAGACTTCACGTAATGATGATTTTGTTTATTTTTATTTAACTCAAAAGTTGACTCTCAGGCGGCGCTAATCAAAAAAATTGATTGAATCATGACAACTTGAATGTTTTTTTGCTTTAAGCAATAATTTCAGTCCATTTTCGGCTAATTTGTCCATTTTTTAATTAAAAATCACCTGACAGGGAACATCAAATTTCAAACCTAAATTTTTCTCATCTCTGATCTCTCTTGCTTCATCTCTTTGACCGAACTAAATTGTTACAAAATTGAAATGATGTTTATGTAAGAAAAGTTATCTATTGTAACAATAGATGTCAGTCTATTCCTCAATAGATTACAATAAATCTGAAAAAGATTTAAAATGTTATTCAAAAAATTCAATAACAATATTAAATGATTACATGCAAAGACTTTGACTTTCGAGTTGATCTTTGAGACTTGGTGGGGTCAAAAACGAAGTTATTTGAATATTTATCTGAATGAATGATAAAATCACATCCAAAGCTCAAACTTTCGCCCAATTATGATTTCGGTTTTTTGTTATTGCGACTGTTTATGAACAGAAACTGAATTTATTTCAGTCAAAAAATTACGGATGAATTGCTTACTACTGTTGATGTAAATAAATAAAGAGCTGGAACCCATTTTTCAGATCATTTTTACTGGTAACTCTGAACAAGTCTTTAAAGACGTCATCTTAAAATTTTGAATTCAGGGGTTACATCTGATCGAGAGGCATGTTATTATTTGATTAGCTGGTAATATGTTAACCATATAAATGCATCTTTAACTGTCAAACGTCATTTTAAAACTAAATAATGGAAACATTAATCACTCAACAATTAGTATCTCAACATAAAACATAACGATAATTTTGAATGCGTATTGTTAGTTGAATGAACTAGACACGCATCATCATTCCCAATATGATCGTTGTTTCCATCTGCTTCTTCCTTCTCATTATCATTACCATTACATTATCAATCGATTGACACCTTGACTTTCATTTGGTAAATTAATTAGTGTAAACCAGAGTAAAGATGAACAATCGATTCTGCAACAATCGAATGAACAATAAAACAAAATGTATACAACAGTAATTAATTTAATTCCCTTTTCCATATCTACAAGTTTCTACCGTAATTACCAGCCACAAGCTTTTCCCATGTTATTCAAGTTGAGCTTCAAGGAAATCCATAAACTTACAACTCAAACATTTCAAATGTATCATCAAATTTGGACCAACAGGACCCTTAATGGTCAACAGTAAACGTAAGTACAATTAAATAACACAACCTCAGTCTCTTGAATCAATCGTAAAAACCAAAGCTTTGAGAAAGGTAAAATTTTAGATGTAAATAACCAAATACATTTACCATGTTTGCTCTGATTTTTTCTGGTTACAGCTTTACCTGTTGATGTTAATGTTGCCTTGATTAATTACTCTGATAGCAATCATATTAAGTGAACAATATTCACATATCAGTGAACAGTTAATTGTTGTTAACATTAAAAAAAGATGGAACCGAGTTTAGCTTTTCTAGATTGATTTGGGTTAGAAATAGATAATTGAAAGTCAATGGTTAGCTGCCTAACCATTAACCAGGTTTCACCATCTAATTATTGAATTATTTCTTGATACCTAAATTAAAGTTAATTATCACAATGATTAGCCAACATGAACATTTAATTGTAACAACAAGGAACGTTGACGAAAGACCAAGTTTAACCAGAAAAATTACCAGGAAAAAAATAACCAAATGAAAGCTGCAACCCGAAAGGTTGATGTTAACCCATTTAGCTAGTTAACTAAATCAAATGGTGTGTTAACACCATGTTTATGATGTTAATTGAATACATTAATATTACAATTACCAGACCTTGATTCAGATTTGATTTAATTAGTTACCAAAAAATTTCACTCTCAATGGCCACCGAGAAACAAGCAAAAGCTTCAGAAACCAGAAAAAAACAGTGAATTAAACATAATCTATTTCCACTTACCTTTCTTGTTTTAATTAATATACAATAACGTAATTTATTATTTCTCATTCAATTACAACAATTCTATTGATTTAAACAATCAATCATTTCTATTATCATTAATTTACCCAATTAGTTGATCACACATTTCAAGTTTTATAGTCTCTTAACCTTTAACTGGTTCAACCTTTTCAGTGTTGCCATTCAAACCCAGTATTACAATGAGAATCAAGTGAACCCAATTTAGAGACATTAAAATTCAAAGATTTGTCTAAATTAACTAATCCAAGTAAATTAAAATGAAACAAATCATTGAGAAACTAGGAAATGAATAGTTGAACCGAAATTTTAACCCAAAATTTAAACCTAAAACTTGATAAGAGTCATTTGAATGTAAACCCAAAAGAGTCAGAAAACCTTTCTAAATGTAAACCTTCTTATACATTTGAATTAGATTGATGATCAAATGTTACACCAAAATGTGCGACAAAAATACAAGCAAATCTGATTGAAACTTATTCCAGTTGAATGTAAACAAGGTAACATTTGTAACCTTGACCTGAATTGTCCTTCCTTCCCACATTTACAGGTAACATTAGACATACTCAGCGACTCAATTCAATTGTAATATAATAAATAAAAGAGTAAGATAATGTGATGATAATAATATCCAAAATACCAGGAAAATGTAATGAAAAACAACAAAACTGATAACAATTGTGAAGCATTAAACAAAAGATGACTCCAAATGTTTACCAAGACCAAACATCATCTTCCATGCAAATATTACATCTTTTTGACCATTTGTTACCCATTTTTGTAAGCCTCACCTAATTGGAAACAATTAAGGTAACCAATTAATCAACAATCTGTAGCAAATCAGCTTAAACATAATCATTTAACTACAAGAAAAAACAAAAGCAAAAGCTTAGTAAACCTAATCGTGTTATTGATTTTTCACTTTTTCTGGTTAACTTTGTATAGCAACAGGTCATTGATGTAAATGTAAATATGTAAAGATTTGCTTTGTTTTTGTCCAAATAAATTGCGGTTCCTTTCATTTCTGATTTACCTTTACCTTTTATCATTAGCTTAACAATGATTATTTCAATTGATTTATTGAAAATTAAGAATGATCATTAGTAATTGATAGGATGAAAGGTAAATCAGGTGAGATTAACTGTTGATCTGCATAATCATTGAGTGAATGGAAAATACTGAAAAGGTTGGAAAAGGTTGGAGATTGAAAATGCTGAAGCCTATTATGGAACAATATTAATCTGAAGATCATAAATCAGGCAAAATTAATCATAAAATATGAACATAAAATGATTGAATATGAGAAAATGAACAAAATCAAAGTCTCGCTGCAAACCAAATCCAAGTTGATTCAACACCTACATAGACTTTTATTTTTGCTTTTGCTTTTGTTGATTGTCGATTTGATTATTTAATTTTATTCTTTGATTTGATTTTAATTGTTGATTATGATCAGATGAAGATGAACTAAAAAGTGAAGTTGTAAAGTTGAATGGTTGCAAGCGCAGGTTCAATAGCTTGTACTTGTATAAATGTATACATAGACACACTATTTACACATGATAACTTGAGCAACTCAGCAAAGTGAGCTCTGAATAACCCTGAAAATGATATAAAATGTGAACCTTTGGACACATTTTTACCTTTTACACTTGATAGGTAACAACATTAGGCTGATATGAACCAACAATCAAACTAAAAATACAAGTTGTGCACAGCAAAACAAAAGCCTCACCACTTCCATCATCAAGTAAAAATCCTTTTTTTTCACTTTTCTTCTTATATTTTTCAATTTTTTCAGACGTAAAAACAATAAAGAAATTAAATCAACAGTAAATACCTGTAATTGTCTTCTTGATTGTGCTTTAAATTGGAAACTTTTCATCATTATTAACTATTTTCCTCGTCATTTTACCAACCACTTTTGGACTCCCATTTGGGTTGCAACTTCAACATATCAACAGTTTTCCAATTTGACCGCCTTCCAACTCATAATTTCATCATGGAACGAGTAGATTTGACCAATTTCACAGCTGAAGAATATGAAAAGATCATGAGTGTCATGAAAAGAGATCAATTGTTAAGGAAAAAAGAGGAACAACGCATTTTGTAAGTAACATTCAATTGCCATTTGCACCTTACTTGTTGTCCGTCTTGTTACCAATATTTAACTAAACCTTTATCATTCATTATCATTCATATTGAGCTGATTGAGCTTTCTGAATTTCTTGACTTCTTTTAACATGCGATTCTCACCAATGACTTGAAACAAAATAACTGATTGTGTATTAATTTACATTTGATATCATATTATGTTGCATGATCTCAATCATTATTTTGATATTTTGATATTTCTTTGTTTTTATCATTTGAAATGTAATACAAAATGTATTTCTTGCAAATGTATTTACATTTGCATTGAAGATGTGAAAAGAAATGTATTTTTTCCCAAATGAAAATGATCTTATGATTCAATGAAAATTTAAATTCACTTTTGGCTCAACATTTGACTTGATTGGTGGACAAAATCACAATCAATAGTTTAATTTGAATTGATTGAAATTATAAATTATTATAACAATAATGGTTTGATTGATAAAATGTATAAAAAGAGTGAACAGTGAAAACTCAAGTGCTGTGTTTTAATATGGATTGGTAGGTTTATGCATAACAGCTTTCCAAATATACAATCTGTGTTTGTTTTTACATGATTAAGTAGCTCAGGAAGATGACGATTATGATGAGAGGAATGATGAAGATGAAGATGAGAAAATTGTTGAATTAATATGGATGGACGTTGAATATATACAAGCACATTTTAACCCAGAATTTATTGATCCAGTGAAAGTTGACATCAAGCTTTTTGTGATTCTATTTTTTCCCTCTTCTTTCCTTTTCACCAGCATCTTCATCATTTTCATCATTACAATGCTCTTATAACTGACTATTGATTACCTTACCGTACCACTCATCATCATCATCATCATCATCAATCTCATAATGAAAGAGACAGTTTCATTCAATCAAATCAACAGAAAACGTTTGCTTTTGTTTTCACTTGAATCGCATAAGTAACTGTTGATTGTTTGTTTTTGCTTTCATTTTTCTTCTCCACAATCAACTGTTAACCGTTGTTGATCAATTATGACACCTTTATTTATAACTGTTGGTCGACAGCAATTTAATAACTTCCTTGATAATCAACAGTTAGCCCAATTAATTTTACATTGGTTGAAACCTTTTGTTGGTGCAAAAGGTTTTTATACCAAAAAGAGCTTGTATTACTTGAGCTTGTACAACAATCTGGAAGCTCAGTTTGTTCAGTTCATCTTGCAACTCTAGTGACTCATTATCTGTGCATTAAATTGAATTTGTTGATAATTGCATTTGAGAGGGAAAAAATAGGTTCAAATGAAAATGGATATTCCAATTACATGGCATCTCTGTTTTGAAATTAAATTTCATGCTTGGAGTATACTGAGTTTAGTTTCCAATTAGCAAAACATTTTCACATTTTTTTCCCTGCAAGAATATACAATTTCAATTCTACTTGTTGAACAGAGCTGAATTAATACACTGAAATACTTTACACACTCAATTATTTTAATTTGTATCTTAAGGTAACCTTGTTTTGTTGATTTAGATGTAATAACTTTTAATTTTGATGAGTTGAAAATCAAATTTCGCACAATTTATGCCATTAAGAAAAGGCTTAAGCTTTTTATGCTTTTATGTCGCTTTGGTGACCAACAGCCATATGAACCAGATTTTTTACCGGTTTGTTTTATAAAAGCACATATTTTAATATTGCTTTTATCACCAATTAATTAATTGTCTTTAATTTAAATGTTTTTATGTTTTAAATGAACTCTAATGTTTTATTGTTGACTAAAAGTCCTTCACAAATGGTTCATCTTTGTAAAACTGACCAAGACCTGGAAAACAAGACAATAACCTTTACATTTCTTTGTAGTGTTTGTTGGTTGGATACAATTGTGAAAAGATTGTTGTTTAATATTAATAATCAATTGATTATGAATGATGATACAACAGGTACAAGAGTTAATCAATTCACCTGTGAAACTACATGAAATAGTAAACAGTTAGATTCGGAATAAATTGATTTCACTCGAAGTAACAACGGTGAAAGCAAACAGATTGTTATTAGATCACAATCTGGTGAATATTGTTGATATTGACATTGATACTGATCTAGTGATACACACACAGACAAAGTAATCTAATTATTTTTTGGATAATAATGGTTTTATTTGAATCCAGCAGCATCAACTGCACATAAAAATTGAAACGATCAAAGTGAAGTGACAAAAGTGTGTATAAAAAAGAGTTGTCTGAAGAAGAAAAAGGTGAAAAGATGAAGAAGAAGAAGACAAATAACAAAATAATATAACAGCTACAACATATTTCCAAGTCGAATGAAGAGACAAAAATTAAAGTCAATGAAAGGTAAGTCAAGTGAAGTTGGTGAAAAAAAGCTGAAAAGCCTTTACATTGTCATTGATTGTGTTTACATAAAATTGTTCAATGTCTAACGCTATCAACAATTTTCTAAAAGAAACAACATTTAGTTGCTTTACAGTGCTTTTTACCAGCTTTTCATAAATCTTTCAACCTCTCACCCTGAAACTAATACCAATATTGATTATCATCTCATCATGGATGATGATCAACCTGGAATCTGGTAACAAAATTTTTCAACATAAAGAATAAGAAGACAAAAATAAAGTCTTGTATAAATGTTTTACCTGCTTTTTAGACTTTGACTTTTCAAGAATCAATTTAAGCTAAAACTATTTTTATCCTCTTTTATTTCCTACCAAAACAACTCATCTTCATCATCTTAACCTAGGCCGCCATCTTCAACTCGATAATAAAGCAGGTGGAAATAGAAGAGAACAAGAAACAACAATTTGATTTCCTGAGCTACTTAAATTCATTGGACTCATGATAACTCTGGTATCTGTTCAATCCTGTTGAATTTTGTCCAACAAAAATCAAGTCACGTTTAAATGGAGAAACTCTCAACTTCATCATCTTCATCACCAATACTATCATCATCGTCATCATCTTCAACATGTTCAACATTTGCTGTTCACAGTTGTTTGAGAGGCAAAACTCAAAGAAGCAAATAAAGATGGTTTTGAATTTTTCATGGACAAAATAATGAGTTTAAAATGGTGTATAAAAATTCAATGAATAATGAATTTAAACATGAAAAATGGTATCAACAAGGAGTCAAAATTTTACCAAAAGTTACCTGTTCCATTCATTCCCAAGCATTCAGTGGCTAAAACCAGCGTTTTATCATTCAAAAGACATTCTCCATTTTATCTAATATAATTACTGGCTTTACCTTTTAAAACCAACAATTATTATCAAAGGAGTACCTGGAATACATTGTTTTGGTTGACCCAATTTTCAGGTTGGCCCTGAAAAAAGACGAACCACCAAAATGAAACACTTTTAATCGTGAAATCGTCTCTGGATCTTTGGATTACCTGAAATGAGATAATTGAATTAGGAAGAAAACGTTTGACCCACTAACTTTGATGAAAAGGGATGGCTTTTCAAGGGAAACTTGTTGACTCTAATTCTGTTGAACAATTAATCTTTTGGGCTTTTGTTAATCAGAAACAATCTTACTCTGTCGTTTTAAGTTTCCATCGCCTGAAACAAAATAATCAAATGTTGAAATAATTACCTTTGAGAATCACCTAATCATAATCAAGAGCAACTCACAATGCTTTTTACAATATTACATATTTCTGCCTTCATTTTGGTTCCCTGTTTCTTGGATGATAATGATGATGCTTTTTTGTGAACCTGATTAAGATTATGATGATGAGAAGTTCTCATTGAGAACAAGTGAAGATAAGTATTTCTGAGTTTTTTGGAAGATCCCTATTGGAGGGCCTCAGGGGATAACATGAATGATGAAGATGTGAAAAATTGCTTGTCTTCATATTGATTCTCACATATGTTGCCAGTTTGTAGTTGTAGTCAATGTTATTATAACATTGATAAAATACAAACTCAATCTGAATCTGTATTGTTGCGACCATTTCAAGTCAATTGACTATTGGTCTCATCAACTGCCGTGCTTCAAAAGATGAACACTTTTGCTGGCTAATCACTGGTTCCATGGGTTATCTCATCATTATTTAATCGTACAATTTCAATATTCGTAATAATTCTGTCTTAACCGATTAGTTTCGAACAAATTTTTTTCTTTTTCTGAGTAGATTTTATTGATCACTAAAGCACCGTGTCATTATGCACACCAATGCGGTAATTGTTTACCCAATTTTTCATTGCATTTCAGGTAAAGATTAGTAAAAAAAGAGATCTTTTTACCTCTTTTTAAGCTCATTCCACTTTTTAATCATCGTTAATCTGATGGATTGCATTCATACATTCATGTAGTTTTATCGTTTTCAAGCCTTGATAAATAACCAGAACACATTTCTTTGAATTTAATCTGGAATCAGACAATTTTCCCTGTCAATCTGCATTTAAAAACAACTCTCTGTAAACACAAAATGTAACCAAGTTTTGTTTCCCATTTCATTTCATTTTCTTGTTTTTTTATTCCTTTGGTGAAAAGATAAAGATGAAAATGTTTTTGAACAAACCTGGAACGTATATTTATCAAAAATGTATGTGAATTGATGAAAGAAATAAGAGACTAACTCGAGTTGCTGTCTTGACAGATAAAAAAGTAAAAAATTCTGGTTCAGTTAAAATGGAAGCTTTAACTTTATCTTGCTTTTTGTTTAACGCGCTTCTTTTTAGTTACCCAATCTATTCCCTCCAACTTTATCAAAACACATGTTTATTTCTGGTTTAATTTTACCGTTGGTTAATCTTAATGTATTACATTGTTTTAATTTTATCGATACAAATAATTAATCCATAATTGTTTTTGGTTAAATATTGCCTTTAATATTTGTGTATTCAAGTTAGCTAACAGTAAACACTATCCTGGTATCATAGGGTTTGGTGCTTTTTTTAAGTAAAACCAGGCACTTGGTGCATACATTTTCTGGTTACTTTTTTTATCATTTTCATTATTTTTTTCGCTTTCTTCCCAGAATTAATTTCTCCCTGGATTTGCCAACTTTATCATCAAACACAATCAATTTTCTATCGTTTTAAGCCTAATTCTTCATTGTCTTCACCATTCCATCATAATCAGCTTCTGTGTTTACCATTCACTTGGAGTGTACTTTTCTGCTTTTGTTAACTCTCTTTATCTTTCAGGAAGCTTTGCTTGTTTTATTTTTTGTTATCCTTTGTAATTGTAACAAATTAACAAAAGGTTACCTTTGGTTTGGATTAACATAAATCAACCAGTTAAGCTAATGAGTAGCCAAGCATATATCCCCAAATACAAAGGACTAATAAGTGTTGAACATTTAGTGGTATTACCGATACAAGATGAAAACAAATGAAATTGCTGACCAAAAAATATCTCAAAATCAGTTTCTATTATCCATGTTAATTAGCAATATAAAGTTACCCAAATTTGGTCCATCGTCCTCAAAGCCATGATCATGTAGCAATCTAGTTCACTAGTAAACAGTTAAAGGTAAAGTATCAAATGATTGAAAACAAAAAGAATGTAATAGAAATAATTGAAACAAATAGATACACACTATCACCTGAGATGTTTCAGGTAAACTTTGCCAAATCAATCATTTAATTAGATCATATTTCATCAGTACAAATGTACTTGGTTCAAGTCTAGTCGTTTTTGTTTACAATGTTTCATATCTTGTTTAGTCTATTCAAAAAAAACAAACACGAAAATATTGAAAGATTATTTGTTTTTTATTCATTTATTAAAGTATTATATAACAACAAAAGGATACAAAACTGACGCTATTCATCTGTATTGCCAGAAAAAATAAATAAATTTGATTAGATTCTGTAATTTAAAGGTATATCAAAATGTGATGATAATCTAAAGAATCCATCGTTCCCTGTAAATACCCTCATGTTTATTTCTTGTTGAATTACATAATTTGACAGAAGCTATATTGAGCTTGTAATATCATCGATATTTACAAAACTAGTTTGATTATTTGGATTCTCATGGTTGTCAGATCATTTATGATGATGATTCTACAGATGACAATGAAAATAATTCATGAAAATGGGTATAAAAGTGAAAAAAGAACAGAAAAAAAACAATATTCTGTGAAAATGTTTACCATTTTTTCATCATTTCCATTGATCTTTTTACATAACATTATATTAACATTCAACACCCACCAATTGTTGAATAAAAAAAGGCTTATTAATGACATTGAGTGAAAATTTCAGTTTTTAGATGAAAATTTTAATTTCCTTTTCCCTTTTGATTTACAGATGAAAGTGAAAAATTAATTATTTCCTCCATTTCAAGTCTCAATAAATAATTAACTTTGATTTGAATTTCTTTCATTTTCACCGTTTCCATTTACAGGGAAGAGCCAAAAAGGTAGAAAAGATTGACCCAAATTTGAAAGTTTCAATGAATTTTCAATCTCAGCCATTTCAATGATTCCTTGATGCTGGCAAAAGAAACAAAAAGCATTTCAATTTGATAACGTCTCTTGAAGTTACCATGATTACTTGAAAATGTATCACATTACTTGATTAGGTTATGAATTGTCTATTGAAGTTAAAACAAAATGGGTTTAATATTTCAGTTTACCTTGAATTGCAGTTGAAACATTAAAGTGTAAATGTCAATTTATTTTAGCCTCATCTTTTTTACCCTGGCAACCTAACCATTTCAACCTTTCCCATCTCTAATCAACAGTTGCCTGAAAAAAGTTCACCACTTGAAAGCATCAGTTTGAATCAGTGTAAATATATCTTTCCATGTTAACTCTTAAATTGATTTAACTGGAGTTGTAATATTTTTCATCACCATCTCGCTATTATTCAAATATTAACATTTTTCTCTGGCTTTCATTTTTTAAGGGAATCCCTGTTCAAGTCAATGCTTTTTTCATATCATTTTGGATTCTTCTTGACTAACATTTGATTTACATTTTCCTCTTCAGGGCTTAAACATGCGGAATCGAGTCTAATAACTTGTTCAAACTCGACAAACATTAAACTGTTTTCCATTTGTATGAAGAAAATTGATGAAACTTGAAATCACTGAGTAGCTCATAGAGATTAATACAAAGGAATGAATCAATTACAATGTTTCAATATAACCTCTCAAGTTTTACATTTTAAATGTTAGTCTTGAGAAACTTGAAGTCCAATCAAACCAAGCATTTCATATGATTACATGAATGAATGAAGGCTTCCAAGTCAAGATTCAAAAGTTATTCAGGGCTTTGAATTGTAACATTTCCAATAGCTAATTACTCAATAAGTCAACCCTCAACATCGATCGCAAAGAAACTATTCAAGTTGGCTTGAAGTTAGTCCATTATTCTTCTGCCGATCATTAACGGAGAATCACTATATTCCGCAAAACTGAGAAATTTTTGTTCGACTTTACAAAGTTTATGAATTTTCTGAACTCAATCCTTGTCATCTTCCCTGGCCAAAGACATGATTAATGAATTAACTTTGTTGAAAATTGTTCCATTTCTCAAATGATTTGCAAATCAGGAGCAAAGTCAAAACAATATTTACACTCTTTTTGCAATCAAAGTAACCATGAGCAATTATGAACTAATCACTTCTGAACATGATCATGACACAATGAGATAATTTATCCATTATGTATTTCAACTGAACTTCATCACTTGTTCCCAGATTGAAGAAAATTTTTCAAAATTAATTGAAATAAATTGCTTTTTCCCCAACAACGACCAAGTCAAATTGATCCAAAACTATCATCATTCAATGTTACCATTTCCCTTGCCAGAGTTGCGAGCATAAAAGGATGAAAAATAACATCCAAAGCAATCCAAACAATCAACTAATTTCTTGAAACAAAAACCTTTGATTGCAACCAAATTTCAGCTCAAATTTGATTTCAATCCCTAACTCGTTATCCAACTCTGATCTTGTTTTCCTTCCTTTTTTTCAGGGAAAATTCTCAATCATGAATTCATCTTCATAAGTATACAAAACATTTAATATCCAATATTTTGAACTGTTATTATGTTGTTTCATCGCAGAAGAAAATAAAAAAAAAGTAAAATCTCATATATCAAGGTAGCAATGAAAACATCGCTAAACAAAAATTGAACACATTTTTGCTACTTTATTTGCAAATGATTGGAAATTATTTCCTTTGGCAAACATTGTAATACAAAATTGGTGAGAAATATTGAGATATTTACAGAAAAGACAAATGCAGTAAAAAAATGTATCCAAATACATTTACATATTATTGTCGAGTAACCTTACAAAATGGTTGAATAGTTGGCATGCAAGAAGGGCAAAGAAACGCAATTTATCGTCTAATGCACAGATTTTGTTTCAATTTGTTTCACCAACAGTTGAGTTGACAATTATCTGAACAACGACTTGAGTTGATTATTTTCACTTTCATTTCATTTTCTGGTTAAAATTGTAAAATAGTGAAAAGACAACGTTACTTTTGATAGTTTAACGTTTCCATTTTCAATCAACAATCAACTTGAACTGATTTAATGAACAAGAGTAAACATTCATTACCAATGTCAACACAATTAATGGGCCAACAACATTTGTTAATCATAAAGTTTGATGCAAAATTCAACAAAAGTAATAATAAGATGACTTCACCTTGACTTCTTTACCTTTTTATGTTTAATACAAACTTTTATATGCCTTTTGTATTCCTTGACAAGGTATTATGGTTTTTGGTTGAGATGAAATATTTACCATGAAAAAGAGTTGAGAATACAAAATGAATACTGTCAAGACTGGGAGTTGCAGTACAAACTGGGAGTAAAAAGTGGATACTTTTCAATTGCATTCAAATTGCATAATGGCTTTTCTTTTCATGGAAAAGGCATGAATTTATTGTTCATTAAAACAGTTTAATTTCAATGGATTCCCTGACACTGTTGACAGTTGGTTCAACGTTCAAATTTCAAACCAAATTTAGATTCCAATCAACTTGATAGAGATAATAAAAGCTGAAATCAACTGGAAGCTAAAAGTGTCAATAAAACTCTAATCATCAGCTAAAATCTAAAATTCAATCTTGAAGTTAATAACAAAAATTTGACTCTTTTTGTATTTCCAATGACTTCATTTGATTGTAATAAAGATTTGTTTTGAATGATAAATGACCATTTACCGTGAATTTTGTTCATCATTTGAAGCGCTTCCAAGTCTTGATCATGATTTCAGGTGAAAGATTTGAGATTGATTTGCATTTTCAATCATTCATCTATCACAATGGTTAAGTGAAATCAACTGTCGACTGATTTGTTTATTCACCTTTCTAGTTGACTAAATTTTTTCCTAAAATATTAATATTGGCCATTTGCTTTCAGTCAAATGGTCAGAACAATATTTCCTTCAGATTAACCCAAATCTTTCACATTTGCTTTATTCACTTCAATACCTTTATCCAATTGACAGTCAATCTTATAATCGTTTACTCAGTTATACAGTCAATTATTATTAATCTGGTTGAGGTTAAGTTCGGTCAATTTTTTGGTCAATTGGTTAACAATC